TGCTGCAAACAGGAGAAGACCTGACGGTGCTCACCGCAAGAGCAAGGCTGTCTCTTTGGGTACCTGCGGATACGGGCCAGCACAGCGTGCACCTCTGCCCGCGGCCACCCGCCCCGCCTGCCCATGCTGCGTGTCCAGCAGGAGCCCGCACCCCACTGACACGCCCGCCCCACAGAGTGCGCGAGGCTTGTGGTCACTTGACTTTAAAAATTATAATTAAAAATTAAGAGTCGTAGTGATGATGGAATTCTACGTTCCAGTCTGACGGGAAGAAGGGTCAGTGGATACCGGGACTCTCGACCTCCAGGCCAGGTGGCTTCTCGGATTCCAGCGCCGGTGCTGTGGGCCTCACTGCTGGATCTGACTCGGGGTTTGGTGGCTCCGCGTCTCCCGCCTGAGGAACCCGACACAGGACACGCGGGGCGTCTTCTCACCCGGCTGGGCCCTGCGGCCTCGCGGGTCAGCCGCCTGGAGGCAACTAAGCGCCACCACTTCCCCATCATGACACCGAAACAGCTAATTCTCTGTCTTGGCCAGAGAGTGGACATTGCTGGTCCCCTGCAGGCCTGAGCGCTCTGGCACCCAGCCCCGCTTGGAGCTGAGTTTGCCCACGAGCCCCGGCTCCAGGAAGGCAGCAGGAGGCTGCACCCCACTCTGGCCGGCTGCACCCCGCCCGGCCCGCTGCACCCCACCCTGGCCCGCTGCACCCCCGCCCGGCCGCAGGCACCGGAAAGCCAGCCCCAGCCTCACGGAGTGGCACCTGATGCGTGTCCAGCTCGCCAGCAGGGAAACGCGCCAGCCTTCCCCGCAAAGGGCGCGGCTCCGAGCTCCGCCCACGCGGCGCGGAGACGCCCACCCTGAGGCCCCGCGAGCCGCCCCTGCCCCAAAGCCTGGGCTGCTGCCCCGCGGCGCTCGGGGCGGGCGCGGCTCGGACCCCGCCCACCTCCCGCCACGCCCACCTCCCGCCACGCCCACCTGGCGCTGCCCAACCCTCACGCCCGCAAGGCCCCGCCCACGGCGCCGCGCCCCAGGGAGGCCCCGCCCCGCCCCCAGGAAGACCCGCCCCGCCCCAGGAAGACCCGCCCCGCCCCGAGGAAGACCCGCCCCGCCCCCGAGGAAGGCCCGCCCCGCCCTGAGGAGACCCCCCCCACCCCCCCCACACACACACACACACGCGGGATTCCGGCCGACCAGGGAGCGACCTCCGGAGCGGAGAGTGAGCTCGGGCCCCGCGCCCCGCCGGCCTGTCCTGCACTGCCGGCCCCCCTCCGCGGGCCCCCCCTCTCCGCGGGCCCCCCTCTCCGCGAGCCCCCCCTCTCCGCGGGCCCCCCTCTCCGCGAGCCCCCCCTCTCCGCGGGCCCCCCTCCTCTCCGCGGGCCCCTCCTCTCCGCGAGCCCCCCCTCTCCGCGAGCCCCCCCTCTCCGCGGGCCCCCCCTCTCCGCGAGCCCCCTCCTCTCCGCGGCCCCCCCCGCCTCCGCGGGCCCCCCCTCCTCTCCGCGGGCCCCCCCTCCTCTCTGCGGGCCCCCCTTTCCGTGAGCCCCCCCTCCTCTCCGCGGGCCCCCCCCCCCCGCCGTGCGGGCGGCCTGGCTCCGGCGCGGAGGCGCGAGCGGCCTCCCCGGCGGGCGCGGGAATCCAGCGGCCCGAGGGCGGCGCGGGCCGCGGGCGGAGGGCGCCGGGCGAGGCGGCGGCCCCAGAGGGCACTGGTCAGCCGGGACTGGGCGAGAGCGCGGCGGTCAGGGCCGCACGGAGACGGCGGGCGGGGCCCGAGGACGGCGGCGCGGGGACGGGGACGGGGACGGGGACGGGCTGTGGGCCGGGGGAGCAGGTCTGTGCCCCCCCCCGCGCCCTCCCGGAGGCAGGTCTGAGCCCCCCCCCCCGCGCCCTCCCGGAGGCAGGTCTGAGCCCCCCCCCCCGCGCCCTCCCGGAGGCAGGTCTGAGCCCCCCCCCCGCGCCCTCCCGGAGGCAGGTCTGAGCCCCCCCCCCCCCCCGCGCCCTCCCGGAGGCAGGTCTGAGCCCCCGCCCCCCGCGCCCCCTCCCGCCGGCTCCGCCGGGGTCCCGCCTGGCGGCTGCCCCTTCTCTGCTCAGGACGCTCCTCTTTCCCGCGCCAACCTGCCCCGCGCTGTGGCGGCCGGTGGCGGGTCGGCGCTGCCCGGGCCTGGGCCGCATCCCGGCGGGAGGCCAGGCCCGGGCACCTGAGGCTTCCGCAGCACCGTGTCAGGATCCTGCCCGGCTCCGGGAGCCCCAGCCGGCTGCGCCCCCGCCCCCTGCTCCCCGGCCGGGACCCTCGCGCGCCGACGCCCGAATTCAGCTCCTGATGTGTCTGGGGAGTGGTGAGACGTGGACGCGTCTGCCGCGGCTCCTGCGGCTGAAGGGTGCCCCCTAAACGCTGCCCCCCCCTTTCTCCTGGCCTGCGCTCTTCCTCTTCACTGCTGTGCAAAATACCTGGGCGTCCGCCCTGCCCAGGGCTGCCCTCGGCCCTCCCCGGGCCGCGGGACCCTTGGCCCTGCACTGCCAGCCCCACCCCTGGGAGCCGCGCCTCGCCGGAGCCGGCTCGCTCGGGCCCGGCCGCAGGGCCCGGGTGTCTCGGTCAGTGGTGAAGCGGTGACGGCGCTGGCCGCCTCGCGCAGGAGCGGGGAGGACACGGCGACAGAACCTGTCTCAGAAAACCGCGCGGGAGCTGGGCCGTCCCGCTGCATGCCGCGGGTCAGGCGCGGCCGGGCCTGCTGTCCGGTGCCGAGGCTGCTGGGCTGACAGCCGCTGGCCGGCTCCGCTGACGGTGAAAAGCAGGTGCTGGATTCCAAAGGCTTAGAAAAAAAATTAAAGGAATGTAAGACACCTCAGCCGAGGGTTCAGATGGATGCGAGTGGAAAGAGCAGCAGCTTGGAGCGACTGCGTCAAATAAAATGCGGCGTGAACATTGCTCAGCTTTTCCTTCACTGTCGCTGGCAGAAAAGTTTTACCTTTAATTGTTGCACATCTCACGTCCCTAGTGGACAGTGCTGCTCTCAGTGTCCAGCCTGGCCGCCCGGACACCCGGGCAGAGAACTCTGGGGTGGGCCCAGTCTTGGTCTTGGGGGCCAGAGGGAGCAACATTCTCGCTTCTGCCACTAGATGCCAGCGGTGCCCTCCCGGGTGACCACACGGTCCCCAGGACAAGTCTGCTGGAGCGAGGGGACAGGCCCCTGGTCGGCCGGACGGCAGCTGCTCCCCTACGCTGGGGCCGCAGGCAGACCTGGGCGTCTTGTCTGGAGCGCGGGAGCGGGAGCTCGCCAGAGACGGTTCCTGAGCCGCCGGCCCCCCAGGCCCAGGATGGGAGGAGGAAGAACACCCCAGACCTAGAGACTGAGAAAGAAATTTGGGGAGAAAGGGGTGCAGGGTCGGGGAGCCCTCCCTCTGCTCCTTGGGCCCGGCCTGGTGCCTGCACCCCAAGCCCCCTTTGAACAATGTAGCCCGAGCCAGCGGCGCCCTCAGGAAGGGTTGGAGGGCCTCAAAGCCAACTCCGGTCCTGGGAACCCAAGGCCTGCACGCGGCCGGCCGGGCGCCCCTGGCTGAGCAGCCGACGCTCATGCAGACCTGGGGCTTCCCCATTTGGGCCTTTCAAGGCCGCGGGGTGACCCGGCTTCTCGGCTGGTGAAGGGGGCAGGTGCAGGGCGGGCGCCGAGGTGCAGGCTCAGCCCGGCGGGCGCCAGGCAGCAGAGGCGGCTGCGCTGCTCTTGTCTCCACAGCAAATCACGCTTTCGAGTGACATGACGGCGAACTGAGTCTGGAAACGCTCCTCCAGGCCGGGCGCGGGCTCCGCGGCCCACACAGCCCGACAGGCCCTTCCCGGTCAGGAGCGGGCGCTGCGCAGCGACCGCCGGGGTCGGGCGGGTCCACTCCTCGGAGGGCGACGGGCTTCGCTCGGGCTGCTGGGGGGCGGCACCCACCGCGGGCCGCGCAGACATCCCTGGGCGCTCAGGCGCCTGGTGGGGGAGGGGGGGGGGCCCGTCGGAGGCGGCCCCGCCCAGGGCAGAGCGTCCAGGCTCCGGAGCCGAGCCCGCCCCGACCCCCGCCTGCTCTCGGGCCTCGCGCGTCCCTCAGCCCCCGCCCGGCCGGGAACCCCGCGGGGCACTGACGGCCGCGGGTTTCGCAACCACCCGCGCCGGAGCTGGAGGGCGGCTGGGCGGAGCTTTGGGGTCCCTCGGCGGCGGCCCCCGCGCCCCCAAGGCCACAGCGCGGGGGACACGGCCCGGGCCCCGCGGCCCGTCCAGCCCCCGACGGCGCCCTCGGGCGCTTCACAGCGTGGCCCGGAGCGCGGGCAGCGTCGGGGGGCGGGCGGGCGGGGGGTCCGACCGCGGCAGGGCCGGGGCGCGGGGTCCCCGCCAGCGCGGGGGGCCGAGGAGGCGCCGCCGGGACGTCGGGGAGGAGGGACGCGCCCCGCCCGCAGTCGCCGCGGGCAGCTCCCGGGTTCCCCGGGCCCCGGGGACGGCGGGGGCACCTCGGCGCGACCCGGGCCGCAGGGGGCGCGGACGGGGGCCCGACACGCGCGCGCCCCGCGGCCGAGCCGCCCGCGTCCCCCGGCCGGGCGCCCCGAGGGCGCAGAGTCGCGCCCCGCCCGGGAATGCGCGGCCGCGAGCAGCGGCCGAAGGGGCGGCCGGGCCTAGAGCGGCGGCCGGAGGGGGGGCGGGGGCACCGAGTCCGCGGCGCTGGCCCCCGCCTCCCGCCCCGCCTCCCGCCCCGCCCCGCCTCCCGCCCCGCCCCGCAGGCCGCGCCCGGAAGCCCCGGCGCGCCGGGAGGCGGCGCCACGCTCGGGAGCGCGCGGGCGGCGGGGCTGCGCATGCGCGGCGCTCCCGCGCGCGGCGCGGCCAATCGGCGCGCGGGGGGCGGGGCGGGCCCGGCGCGCGGGCGCGGGCGCTTCCGGCAACAGCCGCCGCCGGCGTCGCGGGCCGGGGGTGCGGCCGGGCGGGGGCGCCGCTGCAGGCCGGGGCGCGCGGCGGGAGCGGCCCGCGGGGCCCGGCCCGACCCGCCTGCCCGCGCGGCCGCCCGGGGTCCCCGAATCGGCGCCGTCACCGTAAGTCGCCCCGCCCGGGCCCCGGAGCCCCCGGCCCGCCCGCCCCCCCCGGCGCCCCGAAACCCCGGCCGCCCGCCCGCCCCGGGCCGCGGCCTCCGCCCGCCGAGAGCGCGCCCTGAGCGCGGCGCCGGCCCGCGGGGTCTGGCCGTCGCGCCCCCGAGCCCGGCCCGCCCCGCCGCGAGACCCGGGCCCGGAGCCGCGCGCCGCCGCCGCCGCCCGCCCTGCGCGTGGAGCTGCGCCTGGAGCTCGGGGCGCGCCTCGGCCTGGGGGGCCGCCCGCCCGCCCGCCCCCGCCGCGGCTCCGAGGGCGGCGCCTCCCTTCGCGGCCGCCCCGCTGCGAGCTCGGCCCGGGCGGCGGCCCCGGCGGCGGCGGGTGGGGCTCGGCCTGCGGGGCGCGGGCGGTCGCCGGGCGGGGCGGGGCGGGGCGGGGCGGGGCGGGCCGGCCCGAACGGGGTGACCCGCGTCGCGCCGGGGGACCCGGCCTCGCGCGGCCCGGTGAACGGCCGCTGCTGCTGCTAACAGCGAGTGGGCGCGAAGGACCAACACCTCGGTCTGCTCGGACTTTCCCGCCCGCAGCTTCCTCGCCCGCGGGCGCCGCCGGGTTCCCGCCCCTGCGCCGCGGCCGCCGTGCGGGAGGTTGAGGGGGTTCGGGTAGTTCGGGCCCAGGTGCCCTTTGACGTCAGCTGACCTGAGGTGCGGTGAGCTCGCGGCACAGGTGATGGTGCGGCTGAGGCCGCCCTGTGAAAGGTTGCTCTCACATGTCGGTGCCCCCCAGGGCTCGTTTCCGGGGGGGGGGGGTGCAGACAAGGAAACTCCCTTTAAAAATTCCGAAACTTTGGTGATGTCGTCTGACTTGCTAAGTCACACACCTCCATCAGGAGCGGTTTTTGGAGAGCCGGTCTTCCCAGGGGGACGCGCCTTTTTTTAAATTTTTGTTGTTGTTGTTGCCTTTGTTGTTGTCTCTGTGGACGCGCTCAGGAGGCTGAGCTTGTGGTTGGTGAGCACATGCACTGCCACAGTTCGCAAATAAGACTTCTGTGCTCTCAGGAGCATAACATGACAAACCCGTGGATGCCCCATCTGCAGAGAAGCAAACTACATCAATTTCTCAGTGTCGTCAAGTCAAAATGAATTATCTGTAGAATTTTGATAATTGTGAAAGAATTGATTATCTTACTGAAAGCACCCGGTTCAGTCTTAACTTTACAGCAGAAACTGTAAATGTTATTTTTTTAATCTTTTATTTATTTATACAATAGCTGGGGTACAGGCCAGAGGCGCGGGAGGGTGAGAGAATCCACCAGAGCCAGAGCGGGGAGCAGAGCAGGCAGAAGGACCGAAGGACACTGCTGAGGGGAGCAGCGGGCGGCAGGAGGGGTCTGCGCGCCATGCGGGACCCTCCTCCACCGGGGAGCAGCTGGGATCGAGGCGCCGCAAAGGCCGCGGGCAGCTCGCAACCAGCGCTCAACCGCTGCGCCACCGGGAAGCCTCTTTCATCTATTGCTGTGCGTCTTCTCCTTTCTCACAATGGCGCCTTCGGAACAGCGTAATATTTCTGTCTGCGCTGGTTTTCTCACAAGTACCGTACTTGGTTTGCAACAGGTGGTGGCCACGCGGATCTTTTCAAACAGAACCGAAGGCATAGTCACATGACATCGCCAAATTCTTAGGCAAAGATGTTCCTAAAGATGTGCTTGGGGCTTTTTTTCTGTATGTTTTATGAGGCTAAATCTATCGCTCAGCTTCGCCTGCTCCAATCGCGGTACAGCCTTCTTCAAGCGTGTTCTCTGGCTTGCCCTGTGAAGGTCTCGAGACGCCCTGCAGGGTGAGGCTGATCCAATAGTGCTGAGATTTAGAATGATTTTTTTGTTGTTCAAATTCTTTACTGAAGTGACACGGGTTACAGGGTCGTTCACTTTGTAAAGGAAACCCCTTTGGCTCCATCCCACCGCTGGGCTCACCCGGAGTGGGCTCACCTGGAGTCCACGGGCCTCCCCACTTCTGCGGCCTTCTCAGATCGCAACCGCCACGAGTCATCTGGCTCACGCCGTACCGCCTGTGGGACGTGGCATTTGCTCTCTCTTCTGCTCCACGGCTATGTGCACTCTGACACCTGACCCTGGGGGCTTCAAGCCTTGAGCGTGGGGTGCCAGCTAGTCTCTGCAGGAGTTCCCAGCCAGGCTTGGTTTCCCCCTGACTTCCTGCGCCATTGCCAACTTCGCCAGGGCTCCAGCAGGTTCACCTCCCGCGCCACCCAGGAGGTGTTTTCTCCTTGAGCAGGATTGCGAGCCTGGGTTTGCTGTCTTATGTATGTGGGGATTGGGAAGCGAGTTGCTGCCCCCTGCAACTCTGTGTTCTTCATCCCTAGCTTTCCACGGCCTCCCTCGGGGCATTTCTTTTTTTAAGATTATTTATTTATTTGTTTATTTATACAAGCACTGGTACAGTCAGAAGCGCGGGAGGGTGAGAGGATCACCAGAGCCAGAGCGGGGAGCAGAGCAGGCAGAAGGACCGAAGGACACTGCTGAGGGGAGCAGCGGGCGGCAGGAGAGGTCTGCGCGCCATGTGGGACCCTCGCTGGCGGCCGGGGATCGAACCGGTGCTGCAGAGGCTGCGGGCAGCTTCGCAGCCCAGCGCTCAAACGCTGTGCCACTGGGGAGGCCCTGGGCATTTCCTTCTTAAAGCCCATCCTTCTTTCACCTTCCCCCCGGCCACCCCCGGGCCACCCCCGGCTGTCCTTTCCGGCTCTCTGGCCCGTCCTCATCTGTCCCTGGACATCGGGTCCTGGCGTCCCTGCTGCCCTGCTCCGCCTGCGCTGCTGGTTTTTCAAAACTTGTTACCAAGTCCAGGTCCCTCGCGCCCCATGGCCTCCCCCCGTCTGGGCCGGAGCCTGTCTTGCTCCGCAGCGAGGCCTGCTCTGCCTCCCTGACCGCCCCGTGCGCCCCCGGCCCCTGTCCTGCCGGGACGGCCGCACCTCCCTGTCTGCAGGGCTGGCTGTGGCGCGGGTGGGTGGGGACCCGTGGCCGGGCAGGCTGAAGCCAGACTCTGTGTGGGCTGCAGCGCCGGGCTCGCGAGGGGTCGCCGGCCGCGGCCTGAGGGATAAGGGGCGTGGTGGGGTCAGAATGCAGGACAGAGTTTTACGGGCACTGCACCTAAGGGGACGTGGTGACCACACCTGGTGGCCACACATCCACATTTGCGTCAGCCGAGCAGCAGACGTCCCTGCAGGCAGAGGGGCCTGAGTCCGCCAGAGCCAGTCCCGTAGTCAGGCCCATGGGCCTGAGCGCCCGGCCGGCCACACTCCGCATGGTCTAGGATGCGCTGCTGGGGTCTGCAGATAGCACGTCACCCGCAGCTGCCCATGAGTGGCCAGCAGCAGCCAGCTCGTGGGCACCCACACCCGGTGTCCACCTGTGAACGGACCACTGCTCTCGCTGCCCTCCCCAGGACACCCCCGGCCCTGTCCTGGGGTGGTGATGGTGGTCAGTGAGCACAGTAGACACTCACCACCCGTGGCTGACTCCATGTGGATGCCCAGTGTGGGGTCGCCGGGCGTGCGATGTCCCATTTCTCACTTCTCCGGGCCCTTCAGGCCACTTCCTGAGACAAGTGTTCGCGTCCTGCCGGCTCATGCAGGCTCCTCTCAGGTCCTCACCAGCCATGGGCCCGAGGCCCTCGCCGTGGGTGCCTCCCAAGTGTGCAGTGACGCCCACTGCGGCTCTGGCCACGTCCCTCTGGTCCAGGGCCCAGCTCTCGTGGCCCGGTGGCTCCGCACGTCTGGCAGAAACGTCTGCTGAGAGCTGCCACCTCTCCCCAGGGGCGACCCCGGCTCGGGGTTACCGGTGGATGGTTTGCTGGGAGCAGCTTCCCCACGTGGTGGGTCTCAATCTGCAGCTGCTTCCTGGGCTGTGCAGAGGAGCCCTTGAGGCGCCACCAAGCAGCCACCAAAATAACAAATACGGGAAAGTGTCAGGCTACAAAATGAACACACAGAGGTCTGTTGTGTTTTTATATACGAATGAGAAGAAAAAGAAAACAATTCCATTTACAATCACGTCACGGAGAGTTAAGCTAACCAAGAAGGCAAAAGGCTTATACAGGGAAAACCGTGAGACGCGATTGAGCGCAGAACAAGACAGACAGGACGGAAAGAGAGTCCGTGTCCATGGTGAGGAGAAATACAGTCAGGGTGACCGTTCCCAAAGAAATACATGCCTCTCATGTCACGCCCGCTACAATGCCATGGCAGTCTTCAGGAAAATAAGGTTAAAAAATACAAAAAGTTACACAGAAACCACGAAAGACCTTGAATAGCTAAAGCAATGCTAAAAACTAAGTTTCCCGTCACCTGATGTTGAACCACATTATAAAGCAGCAGTAATTGAAACACGATACTGCAATTAAACTAGACACGTGGATGAGCGAAGTGGACGCCGAAGCCCAGGATGAAATCCTGTTCACCCTAATTTATGGCCAGAGCACACCCTGGGGTTTTAGATCTAAATCCTCAACCCGCTGTGAGCGCTTGCGTGTGCGTGTGCGTGTGTGTGTGTGTGTGTGTGTGTGTGTGTGGAGCCGGAGCGCCCCGGTGTCGCCCTTTCACACGTGACCATCCCGTTTCCAGCAGGCTGGGCCCTTGGGTGCTGGCTCTGCCTCCCGAGCATTTCCACACTCCTCTGCTTTCCGTGCGTCACTCCTTTAATTCAGCGCCGGGAGCCCTGACGTCTGTCCTCAGGTGGCCGCCTGCCCGTGGGGGCCTGTCGTCTGGCCCTGCAGTGACAGCTCCCGGGGCTGGGCTCCCACCTGGCCCGGCGCCCCGCCCCCGCTTCAGAACCACAGCCCGTCCCTGTGTCCCCGGAAGGCGGCGGGTGGCCGGCGGGGTGCCCACCGCGGTGCTGACCCGAGTGAGTCAGCCCAGGTCACCAGTGTGTCCCCAGCGTGTCCTTGGCAACCTTTGACAGTAAGAGACGTTTACTCTTTAAAATCAGCCCATAGGCCCCAGTGAGACGAGCTGCTTCTCGCGGGTTCTGCGTGACCTGCGCTGGCTGGACAACGATGCCCTTCCTGGGCCAGGACTGGAGGTCGCCTGGGTGGAGCTGGATGAAGACAGAAGACGGCTGGAAGCGGTGCGAGCCCTGGGGCGAGGGCCTGCAGCCCGGGAGCCGTGGCCTGTGAGTCCCGCCCCAGGCCCCATCCCTGTCCCTGCAGCCCCTTCCCTGCAGCCTTGTCCCCACCGCCCCGTCCCTGCAGCCCCATCCCCATCGCCCCGGTGTGGCGAGTCGCGGCCGGCTGCTGCCTGGGTCCCTTTCTTTAATGGGACTGCTGTGGGTCACCTGCATGTCTTTGGAGACATGTTCCTTCAAGCCCTTTGCTCATTTTTTCATTGATTGGCTGTTAAAGGTTCTATTAATTTTTATTTTTTTAAAGATTTATTTATTTATGCATAAAAGAACTGGAGTACAGGCCAGAGGTGTGGAGGGTGAGCATTCTTACCAGAGACAGAGTGGGGAGCAGAACAGGCACATCCACTGGCGAGGGGAGCAGCGGGGAGGCGGGAGAGGGATGCTGCGCCCTGTGGGTAGCTCCCTGGCCGGGATCAGACTCAGGCCACAGCGGCTGGTCATAGCTTGACAGCGTGAGACAGCCCTGCTGCACCAGGGAGGCCCAGGCCTCAGTGTCTTTGCCGCGCTATTTGAGCAGTGCTTATTTGGTTAATAAGAAAATGTTGTAATAGTTTCAGTTCGGTCTTTGAGAATAGAAGATAACCTGAAACGTCGAGTGTTTCTTAGCATCCGTGGGGTCCAGCCAGTCACGTGGGTGTGGACATCATGTTGCCACGGACACGTTCTGGAGCATTTAGGGTCTCTGTGATCTGTTTTACTAAAGCATTTTGAAGTCCTAAACATCCCTGGCTGAGCTAGCAGAAGCCCCAGGAGATCCCGAAACAGTCGGCTTCCTGGTAGGACGTTATCAGGAAAGCCAGGTTAAACCTCAGATTTCTCAAAAAATTATCTATTGACCTTGTCATTTCAAACCTTTGATTTGGATCTTTGAAGAGTAACTGCTTGCTTTCAAAATTTAACATGGTTTCATTTTGATCTCCTGAATTGCAAACCATTTATTACCTTTTCTGTGGAGAAAAAATAAAGATCTCCTTGTAAAAGTCTTTCAATCTTTTTTCTTTTTGTTTCAGTATCTTAAATAGTGAAGATGAAGAAAAGTTCAACAATGAAGAGCGTGAATATGTATCCAAAAAAAGGAAAAAGGACCATTTTAACAATGACGCAAATGCTCAGTGTAAGAGCGTTCTCGTGTTGTGCTGTGTCCTTGTTGAGTGTGTTGACGTGCGCGCCTCTGGCCGCGAGGCAGGTGGACGGGCTTCTGACTCCCTGCCCCGCGTGCAGGGCTGCCCACTGCCCCGGTCCCCCGAGCTCTGTATTTCACGAGAGTCGCGAAAACAAGACTTCACTGGTGAGGCCAAGGCCGTTGGGCCTAAGAACTGGAGTCCAGCCTTGGGCTGTGGTGGCTGCGGGGCCAGCCCTGCCCTGCCTGTCGAGACTCTGCTGGAAAAGTGGGCTCGGGCACACGCGGTTGTCATGAACTTCGTGCCTTGGGTCTTGAGTTCCTTGAAAAAGGTATTTTAATAAATACCGTCGAAGGTAGCAAAAGTTTAGCACTCGGCTCCCGGGTACCTGAGCATCGGCTCCCGGTGGCTGGTGGTTAAAGTGATGCGGCACCCGGAGCTGGCCTCTCCCACGGCTGGGGCTCAGCCAGACGTCATTTCTCCTGAAACGTTTGGCTGCCCTCATGCGCTTCCGCGAGGTCTTCGCTTGGAAATGTTTCACCAGATTTTAAAAATGTTAATTTTTTTGTAGGTTTTTATCGGGAAAAATGGATCTATGTCCACAAAGAAAGCACAAGAGAAGTGAGTGTTCTGTCCTAACGAGCCTGTTTCACGCAGTGGGTTGAGTGTGACTTGGCTGTCACACCAAGTCACTTTGCGATGTCACCTCTGTGGCCCTGCCCCACGGCCAAAGCGCATCAGGCTGTTGAGCCAGCAGCTCGGCCACGCGGCCTCGGTGCTGGGTGTGGCACGGGGCGCAGGCGGGGTGGGCGGCCTGCAGGGTGGGTGTGGGCCATGGGGCAGGTGCAGCCGCCCCCCTCCCCCCAGGAGCAGGTGCAGCCGGCCCTGGCCTCTCCAGGTCCACTGAAGCGTTTCCCCAGTGGAAATCAATTCCCCTCCAGCCCTGTGCTTCCTTTTTCTCACTCTGGGGACACCCCTTTTGCAGCCTGAGACCGAGTTGCCCGCCTGTGGCAGCTGGGAGGGATGGAGCTGCTGCTGCTCAGTGTATATGGCGGAGCCATGCGAGTGCTGGCAGTGGATGTTCTGGGACCCGCCCAGCTCCCCAGAAGCTTCAGGACTAAGCTCTGAGATTGAGAGCTGTAGGGCTGCTCTGGGGCACCCAGCTGGTTCGCAGTGCGCAGCTGCCCTCATCCTGGCTGCAGGGCCGTGTGGAGAGCGGTGTCTGGACATGAAGGCTGAGCATAAGCGGCCACAGCAGACCACTGTGGCCTCAACTGCGCCTGTCTCCTGCTCTGCCCTACTCCTGGGAGGCCAGGTGGCCGCACTCCTGCCCTTGCCTGGCAAGGCCGGGCCCTATGGCCCCCAGCAGGGTCTCCTCCTCGCTCCAAAAACTGTTGTGGTCTTCCCTGTTGTGCCATAGTGGGGGCTGCCCCCCTCCCAGAGTCCCTGTGGATTTGGGTAATGGAGAAGGAGTCTTGGGGCCTTAGGCAGTCCACAGGCCTTTAAACTGAGCAGGGGACAAGCACAGGCCGGGCGGCCTGGCCCAGGACAGCACCATCTCTGCCCTTGGTCCCAGAGGGATCTCGGCTGGGCGTCCATGCTTTCAGGGGCGCGCACCCCTGCCCCGGCTGTGCGGCCTGGGTGTCCCTGCGGGCCCTGGTGCCCGTGACCACACTCCCAAGTGCTTTTGCGATACCAGATCCCACAGGAGGGCAGGACGCCTGGGGGGAAGCAGAGCCGGCGCTGGGTGGTGAATAAGGCCCGGGTGCCCTGTGTTCCTCACACCTGTGAATCGACTTAATTCCCCCCAAAAAAAGAGGGGGCAGGGACCTGTGTGGCCTCCTGGGCAGCAGCCTTGGGAGCAGTGCAGGGGAGAGACGGAACACTCGGAGGTCTAGAGGGGCTGCCCCCCAAAAGCGCAGCCCCTGCCCCAGCGCCTCTAGTCAGGGTCGCTTCAGAGAGGAGAGTTGTTGGGGATGCAGCGGTGGAGGAGCCAGTCTGTTGCCTGGGGCCGCTGTCAGTCAGCACCTCATCTCCTCCCGAGAGAGAGAGCGGCCTGCGGCCTTCAGCACACACTGATCCCCGTGTGCCTGAGACTAGGGCTCTCGCCCTCATGAGGCCCGTGTGACCGGCTCCTGGCTGGCCAGCAGGAGCCTGGGGCCGGGGCCCACAGACCAGGATGGGTCGGCGCTTCCAGCCAAAAAAACACTTGCTGAGGAGTGGGAGGAAGTGGAGACACCGGCTTCCCCTGACTTTGCCCTCAGCAATAAAAGCGGCTCCCTTGGCTGCTGGGCGGCATGGCCAGGGCAGCTGGCTGGCATGGCTGGCATGGTGTGGCCGGTGCGGCTGGGCCAGCATGACCAGGATGGCATGGCCGGGGCTGGGCAGCCTGGCCCGGCCAGCTGCCTGCTCTGACCCCACATTTCTCCCCAGAGGCACGGCTACTGCACACTGGGGGAGGCCTTCAACCGCCTGGACTTCTCCAGCGCAATCCAGGACGTCCGGAGGTTTGACTACGTGGTCAAGGTAAGCGCTTGTTTGCCAGCTGCTGCGATGGGCTGCGGCTGCTGCGATGAGCTGTGGGTGCTGTGATGGGGCTGTGGGGTGCTGTGATGGGGCTGCAGGGTAGCTGCAATGCGGCTACAGGGTGGCTGTGATGGGGCTCTGGGTGCTGTGGGGTGGCTGTGATGGGGCTTTGGATGGTGAGGGTCTGCCTGGGCCATCTCCAGCATCCCCACAGTGGGTATTGTGCGGCAGCCATCGGACCCATGTGCTCCCGCTGGACCTGCCAGCCTGCGGGGGGCTCACATCTGCGGAGCCAGCCGGCCCACGGGGCTGTGCCTTCACCGTGAGGTCAAATGCTTCTCTGCCACCGGGGAGGCTGGCAGCGCCGTGCAGGCAGGGGGCAGGTGGGCAGCTGCAGCCCTGGCCTTTGCGGCCTGGCACAGGCTGGTCTCCGGCCTATCCAGCTCACCAAGCAGACGTCTGCTCAGCTTCTTCCCTCTTTCTTTTGAAGCTGCTACAGCTCATTGCGAAATCCCAGCTAACTTCGTTGAGCGGTGTGGCGCAGAAGAACTACTTCAACATTTTGGACAAGATCGTTCAGAAGGGTAAGGTGATGACGGATAGTTTTATTACTTCTTCCACACTGATTTTTTTAAAAAGATTCATTTACTCATGCATACAAGAACTGGGGTCCAGGCCAGAGATGCGGGGGTGAGAGAATTCACCGGAGACAGAGGGGGGAGCAGAACAGGCAGACGGACTGAAATACGCTGCTGAGGGGAGCCAGGAGGGGTCTGCTGCGCCCTGTGGGTCACTCCAAGGCTGCGGGCAGCTTCATGGTGCTGAGACTTAACCGCCAGGGAGGCCCGACGACTAATAGTTTTAATAATCGATCTTCATTAGAAATTTGGTGCAAGGGGTGGATTTCTCCTTTATTTCCCGATTTAAAGTCAAAGGCCAGGCACCCCACACGCCCGCTGAGCCCGAGTTTCCGGCTGCAGGGAGCTGCCCCCGAGGGAGGGTGCGGCCCGGGGCCACAGGGAGCCCCATGCTTCTGCCTGGGTTAGTGGTTAAGGGGTGGAGCTTGAGTCCAGCTCCGTGGGGAGGGAACGACCGGCCTCACAGGCGATACTGCGGGCGGTGGGCCGGCCCTTCGGGCGTCGTCGCCCTGGGATAGTGGGGGCGCGCTCGGGGCGCCGAGAGCGGACGTGGGCTGTCGGTCCGGCTGCGAGACAAGGGACCCTCCCCCCCCGTTGCAGAGCGTGCAGCTCAGGGCCCTAAACTCGCCCCCTGCCGCATCCTGCGACCCAGAACCCCACAGCCGCCCCCGCCCGGCCGTGGGCCCGCCCCACTTCGCCCCCCTGACCCTCCCAGCCATGGGCCTGCCTGCCTCCAGGGCTACCTGGTGTCTTGGCCCCTGCACGGCCGCTCGCGGGCTGGGCTCGTGTCCTCCCCAGGTGCGGTGGCCTGTCTGGTCGTCAGCTCTGTCCATAGGTGATGGGTGCCCGGGCTCCCCGGAGCGGGCAGCTGTCCACCGTGGCTTCTGTCCTTCCAGTGCTGGCTGACCACCAGAACCCTCGCCTGGTCAAGGGCCTGCTGCGGGACCTGAGCTCCACCCTGTGCCTGCTCCTCCGGGGCGTGGGCAAGTCCGTGCTCGTGGGCAGCATGGACGTCTGGGGCTGCCGGCTGGAGGCCGTCCTCGCCTGGCAGCAGCAGCTGCAGAGCCTGCAGATGACTGAGGTGGGCTCTGGCTGGGGGCCGCGGGGGCTCACGGGGGCTCGCAGGGCTCAGCGGCGTCCAGGCGGGTCAGGGCAGGAAGATGGAGGCACCGTCACTACCAGGACGGCGGGGGTCCCGTGGGTGGCCGGGGAAACTGATCGGCCTCCAGGGCATGTGCTCCAGCCTGGAGTGGCCTCCGATGAGCCAGAACTCGGCCGGGCCCCCAGGGACCGCTGTCTCTGCCCGCTCCCGGGCCGCCATGGGGTTCTGCAGGTGGCCCCGGCCTCTGCGGAGAAGAGGCAGAGCGTGTCGGCCGTCTTGGCACTTCTGGTTTGTTCTGGTCACTCGTTTCCACAGAAAAACACTAACACCGGCGGCTCAGTGAGCGCCTGGCTGTGCCCTGCCCCTCATAACCAGAGCCGGCAGACCAGAGCCGGGCGGCCCCGGGGTCACGGCTCGCTCAGGTGAGGCTGCACTGCCCTGTCCCCGCAACGAGGCTCACGCCGGGAGCGGGCTTCAGAAGTGACCCCTGGGCTTCTGGCCATTGCAAAGCTGGGCCTGACCAGCGAGGGGTGCCTGAGTGAGGCAAGCGCAGCCCGGAGCCTGGAAGTCAGTCTCCGGAGTTGCTGGGGCCAGACGCGCGCTCGTAGACATGGGGTGCCCGCGAGCGCCGTGTGGTTGTCCTCACCTGGCCCTGCCCCAGCAGCAGGTGCGCACAGGCCTGACGCTCAGCGACCTCCCCCTGCACACGCTCAATGACATCCTGTACCGGCTCTCGGACGGCTGGGACGTGGTCACCTTGGGGCAGGTGAGCCCCACGCTGCACGCGCTCAGTGAGGACAGGCGGCTCTGGAAGACGCTGTGCCAGTACCACTTCGCGGAGCAGCAGGTGGGGGCGGGGCCCAGAATGGGGGTGGGCCGGGGTGGGGGCAGGGCCGAAGTGGGGGGTGCCAGAGGGCTGCCCCTGCTGGCCCTCCTGTGTGGCCTGCGAGCGTGCTGTTGGCAACCAGAGAACAGAATTCTAGAAACGTCCACACCACAGTGGCGAGCCCCTTGCCCCCGTCCTGACGTCTGGCTTATGGCCTCCATGCCCCCATTTGAGGGGCACATCCTCCCATGCTCACAGTCCCCCGTGGCCCGCGGCGCTGTCGGGGTCAAGCTTGCCCACCTCGGGGCCTACCCCAGAGCTGCAGGCGTCTGAGGGGGGCCTGTGTCGGTGGCCCTGCCCCACAGAGGTGGGGCACAGCATCACATGTCCTCTGCAGTGTGGGTAAAATTGAGGGGTGCCATGTGCACACCACAGAGGGGATGCCTTCTGGCCTGGCCGTGGGCTTCTTAGCCCTGAGTCCTGGGGGGCTGGGGGTGGGGAGATGATTCTCAGGGGCCTGGGGGTCCCCTGCGGTGAGGATGCAGGGCAAGTGCGGCCTCGGGCTATCTGCGGGAGGGGACGCCTCTGGTGGGTGGGCCAGGGACTCGGAGCAGAAACTCCGCCCAGGGTAGACGGGAGTGGGGTTTGAGGTGCCCCTTGAGCTCCCAGCTGGAACAGGCGTGGCTGCGGCAGAAGCAGCCGGGGCAGGGGGGCGCCCAGGGAGGACGTGGGGCGGCCTGGCAGTCTCAGGAGGACTGTTGGCTAGAGGCACGAGCGACACGGTCAGGGTGGAGCTGCAAGACCCCGAGCCTGGACCAGAACCGGGCAGGGGTCCCGGGGCCTCACAGCCGCGGGCCACCCCCGGCGGGGACCTGCATGCTCATTACTTAGTCCCTCACCCACTTAACCCAAGTTTCACCTCAGATCGTGTCTGGGGGGCGGGTGCTTCGTGAATTGCGCCAAGCGTCGTGTGATGAGAACCTCTCGATTCTGAGCAGAGTCTGTTTCTGTCCAGTTCTGTAGACATTTGATCCTTTCAGAAAAGGGCCACGTGGAGTGGAAGCTGATGTACTTCGTGCTGCGGAAGCGCTACCCGCCCCGGGAGCAGTTCGGGGACACGCTGCACTTCTGCCGGCACTGCAGCCTGCTCTTCTGGAAGGTGAGGCCAGGCTGGTGGGAAAGCCCCTGACTTCCGTGTGGTGGTGAGAACACGGGGGATTCTAGGTGGGGTGAAGTGGGGCGTGTTTCACCAACTACTGGGCAAAGGAACAAGTATCTTTGTTTTTTTTTTAAGATTTATTTATTTATCTATACAAGCACTGGGGACAGTCAGAAGCGCGGGAGGGTGAGAGAATCCACCAGAGCCAGAGCGGGGAGCAGAGCAGGCAGACCGACGAAATACACTGCTGAGGGGAGGAGCGGGCATGGCAGGAGAGGTCTGCGCGCCATGTGGGACCCTCGCCGGCGGCCGGGGATTGAACCGGAGCTGCAGAGGCTGCGGGCAGCTTCCCAACCCAGCACTCAACCTGCTGCGCCACCAGGGAGGCCCAGGAACAGTTGTTTTGAAAAGCAGAATGAACCATGGTGTGGACCAGCAGGCGGGGCTGGGACGCCTGGCCGCCTCCTGCCCCGGGGTGCCTAGGCGGACCCCGTGAGAGGTGCATCTGAGAGCCCGGCAGTGCTGGGGTCCCCGCACACGGCCTGTGCAGCCCCGCTCTGTCCACACTGCCAGGCCCCACAGGGCCCCTCCGCAGGTGTGAGCTCTGGCTCCGGCTCCTCTTCCCAGAGCCGTGCCCAGAGCCAGCCCAGACAGGCCGCAGCCGTTTCCTCCGCACTGGTCAGAGTGAACGCGACACCCCACGTCCCTGCAAACCGCGCCCTTTGGTGCGAGGCCCTGGAGCGTCCCCTCCGGCAGTCTGGCTCTGGCGTGTGTGGCGGTGGCCACACGGCCCCAGCACCTCCGCAGTGAGCAGCGTCCACTCCATGGGCGCTGTGGGCCCTGCCAGTCCTGGTTCACCTCGCGGTTGAGGGTGTCTGACGTGCGATGGCGCTGGCGCCTCCGTTGCCGCTGACAGTCCCAGCGGCCAGGGCTGCAGGAGCCCCAGCTGCCTGGAGGGGACAGCTCTGCTTAAGACGCACATGTTGCGCAGGCGTGCCCAGCTGGCCTCTGCGGCTGGGGGCACATCCGGGCCGGCCAGCCCCTGCGCCACGATAGAACCTCGGCCAGAGCCGGATGTGCCGGGCCGGGTGTGGGCCCTGGCTACGCGCCGGGGCTGCGTGAGCAGAGCGGCGCGTGGCTGGACTCTCGGACATGTGAGGATAAATGGCTTCCGCCTCGGCGCCACACGGTCCCAGCCTCCACACGCATGGGGCGCGGGGCTGCCCGCCTGCTTCCAGGCACGACGGGGTCGTGTCACGCCTTCTGCTGCCCACCTGAGGTGGGACAGGGGCTGCCGGCGTCAGGGCCTGGGTGGAGGGTGGCCCCTGCGCCTGGCCTCGTGCCTGGTGGTCTCAGTGATGTCCATGACGCGTCCTGCCCACTGCGGCTGACCTCTGCTCTCCTCCCTCCCGCTCTCCCCCGGCTCTGCGCCTCTCAGGACTGCCGCCTTGCTCTGTTCCTCAAGGTACTTGCATGCTGCACACGGGTCGGGTCACCGGCCGCCGACACCCTGTAGCCTGTGCCCCTGGACATCCACCCACACGCCACCTGCCCCAGGCCTGCGCCCCAGTCTTCCAGGCGCCCCCCGCGCAGCCTGACAGTCATCTAACACAGCCTGTTTTTCTTTTGCTGTTTCCCTGCTCCTGCAACTCGGTCTCGGGTAGCGAGGGGGGCGGTGGCCCCCGGGGACACCATTGCAGCGGGCCCTGCCCCAGCATGCACGACGGGGCTGCCCGGCAGCGGCGGGCATCTGCTGGACACTGCCCTCGGGCCCAGTTCTGGCCATGTCGCCGTCCCGCACCAGGCATTGGGGGCCCGGGAACCCAGTCCCCTGGTGACCTGCCTCTCCCCGCACAGGACTCGGGGCACCCCTGCACCGCTGCCGACCCCGCCAGCTGCTTCATGCCCGTGTCCCCGCAGCACTTCATCGACCTCTTCAAGTTCTGAGGCCCCAGCGAGTCGCATTGCCTGTGGCACCCCGAGCCCGGCCTGGCGGAGGGCAGGAGCCCGCCCTGACTGTCTGAAACGTGGCTCCGGGCCCGGGACCCGCTGGACCGGCCGGTGGCCAAGGGGGCTCCCGGCCACGACAGCTCTCCACTGGGGCAGGGGACGGTCGGGGCCTTGTAAATACGATATTTATTTTTCCTAAGATGTATTTTAGCTGCATTGTCGTGTCCAGACGAGCAACCCCCAGCGCTGCCTGGCCAGGGAGGGTCTGCGCCGGTGCCAGCCCCCGTGCCTGCCCCCGTGCCTATGCAGGAACCACCTCCAGGACAGGGGCAGCCGGGCCTCGCCCGCCTGAATGGCCGCCTGGCAGCCCCCGGGAGGCCCTGCCCATGGGCCGCGCCGTCTCCTAGCCTTTGGGTGCCTGCAGAATAATGCATGTCCGTTCTAGAAAATTTTGAAAATAAAGATTAATAAAAAGCAACTGGCCCTGCTCCTGCCCCCCAGGAGCCTGGTTGGCCGCTGTGTGCTGGGGCGCCCGTGGGCCAGATCCTGACGGAGGCGGCGCCCGGGAGGCCACACGGACATGGGCTGCCCCGGTCCCCAGGGGGGTCCCCCGGCTGAGCCCCCACGCCCTGGTTTCCTCGCTGGGACTGCCGCGGAGCAGGCGGGGTGGTCTCTGCTGTGAGCACAGGTGGGGCAGGGGCCGCCGCATCTGGACCCTGACCAGGCGGGACTGAAGGTGGAGGCCCCGACTCCCCAGACGCGCGGGGCTGGGCGGACGAGGGGGTCCTCCCGAGCTCCACCGGACCCCAGTTTTTGGTAAATGAATGCTCTTTGCCGAAGCCTGTGGGGGCGCCGCCCTGTTCCAGTCATTTCTCCTCCGGAGCAGATGCACCTCCGGGGGCCCGGCCCGGCCGCCGTGCACGAGCAGAGCGGCCTGGAACGACCTGGCCCCCCCAACCCCGCGCCCCGCCCGGGCCACCGCCTCTCCCTCCGCCCCGCCCCGAGCCTGGGGCAGCGCCGGGCCCCTCGCCCGGCCTGTCGCCAACGGGGCGTCCCGGTTCCCGTCTCGGGTTCGCCGGGGCCGTCCGGCCGCCTGGGTTCTGGTCTCCGGGCGGGTCGGGCTGTCCCGGCGCTTCCCCGCGTCCGGCCACGCGCCCCCCCCCCCCCCCGTCGCGGGAGCCGCGCAGTGGGTGGGCCGGGCCGGGCCGGGCAGGCGGGCGGCGCGTGTCCCGAGGCCGATGCTCCGGGACCCCGGGACCCCGGGCCGAGACGGCCCCCCGGGTGGAGCACAGGGCCCCGGGTGTGCCCGCCCGGGTCGCGGGGCGGGGATGGCGGCCGACCCGGACCCCACGGCCCAGCACCGCAGGCTCAGGGCCGCCCCGCCGGGGGCCCGTCCCGGCGTCGCTGAGGCGGGAGCCCCGGGCCTCCCGGGGCGGGCGCTGCAGGGGGCCGGCGCCCGGGCGGGGTGGGCGAGCGGGGCGCCCCAGGCCTGTCCTCTCCCGCGTGGGGAGCGCCTGGGACTAGCGTGTGCACGCGGCTCCCCCCCCCGTGCCGCGGGCGGGCGCGGGCCGGGCCCTGGGGCTCCCCAGGCCAGTTCTCTGACCCTTTGCTGAAATGCGCCCCAGTTTTTAAGTGGCCTGGAACGGCAAGCATGTGGCCGGGGGTGGCTGCGGTGCCCGGCAGCCTGGCCTCCTGACCGAAGGGACAGGCTGAGGAGCCACCAGGGGACGCGCCTCCAGACACAACCCAGAACGGCGTGAACCCCGAGGGGGTGACAGCGGTGGCGCCCCTCCCCCCACCCCAGCCCATCCTGGGGCTCTGCCCTGCCCTGCGCCCGCTGCCTCAGTGCCGGCACCACCCCCGGGAAGGGCCCAGGCCTCTCGGGCCACGCCCGGCAGCTGCTCTCCAGATGCTGCCAGCCCCAGGCCTGTTCTCAGGTGGCTGCCACTGCCCGCCAGGGTCCCCTGCCCGCGGGGAGACAGCCCTCCCCACAGCCTCCCTGGCCAGGGGGCCACGCAGCGGGACCCCAGAGGACGGGGGCAGCTGCTCCGGCCTCACCCTGCCCGCAAGGGTGTGGAGAAGGGCCCGCCTGTGTTGCAGGAGTGGGGGGCGCCAGCAGCGCATGGGGGCTGAGGGCTGGTGGCTCCCCAGAGTGGACGGCTCTCCAGAGTGGGCACCGAGGGCCTGGTCTGGAGCCGGCAGAGCCCCTGGAGCCCCACGGGAGGGGCAAGACCGGTCAGGAGGAAGCGACGGGGCGGCGGGGGCAGCGGCCGCCCTCGGGCAGGGAGCCCAGCACCGGCAGGTCTGTGGTTTCTCAGCGCACGGGGAGGCTCCTTTGCGGAGTCACTGGTCACGCAGGTGGGGGAATCAGGACAGGCCCGGGGCAGTTCAGGTGCAAGAAGGACACGGAACTGGCTGCAGCTGGTCGTTTATTCATGGGCCGTTCTACATGTGCTGTTTGCATTTTACAACGAGCCTTAAAATGTAGAAACGTGTCGTTCCTGGAGCTCCGCCCAGGCACCCCGCAGGGCCAGCCCCCGCCGGCCGCGGCGCCCGCACCTCCCCAGGGCCAGGTCATCAGCCTGTGAGGTCACTAGGTCACTGCGGCAAATTGAAGTCCATTAAGAAAAACACCTTTCTCCCAGAGCACCCCAATAAATGCATTAAAATGTATTTTCAACCACAGCTGTTTCCATTTAATCAGATGCAACAGAAGAAAACTCGTTTCTCGGCATCTTTGCAGACAAGGCGAAGGTGGCGACGCTGCAGCCCGCGCTCTGCAGACGCGGGTCGCCCCGACACTGACCAGCCGGGGTCTCCCCGCAGGGGGCCCTGGCGCTGGCGGCCCGCAGGAGCCCCGAGCCCGCGCCCAGAGAAGAGGCACTTGGTGGGTTGTGTTCAGCCTGACTCCAGTCCCCCCAAATTACTAAAGTCCACTCGCACTTTGTAGCATCCTTTAATCTGAAACCCAAGGCCACTTTTAGAAGAAAATAAAGATCTGCAGAGGTAAGCGCCGCGCCCCGGCCCGAGGGGGCCAGAGGACTTGGGGGTGCGCCGCCCCTGCCCGCTCCCCCGCGTGGACGCGCCTCACGGCCCCCCTCGGTGGCGCGGCCGCGGGCCTGGACGTCCCTCCCACGGCGGCCGGGGGGCCAGTCCCCGCGGGTCCCGGGAGGCTCAGCTCGCAGGGCCGTGTGGGGCGCGAGGGGGGCGTCCGGGCGGGGGGCGCGGGGCGGGGGGGGGCGCGGGGGCCGCTCACTCCAGCTCCTTCCAGCTCTCGCGCCGCGCGCCCGGGCCCTGCCGCCGGATGCTCACCAGCCGCCCGGCCGAGCGCAGCGCCCACCGGCCCCCCGCGCCCGCCAGGCCGCTGCCCTTGGCCGGGCCCTTCTCCGCGTCCTCGCGGCCCGGCGCGGCCTCGCCCCAGGCCTCCGCGCCGTCGTCGGGGCTCGCGGGCGGCGCGCTCAGCTTCGCGGGGGCCCCTCGCGCCTGCTGCTTCTGCGCCGCCTTCAGCTCCTCCTTCAGCCGCAGGCTCGCTCTGGGGAGGGGTGTCGGGAACAGAGGCCTCAGGCCAGGGCTGAGGGGTGCCGGGAGGGGACCCCGCGCCCGCCCCGCCCCCGCCAGCGCTGCGCGGGACTCGGAGTCCAGCCTCGGGGCTGCGGGGCGCGGAGGGGATTCGCGGAGTCAGCGGGGCGGGGGACGGCGTCGCCACGAGGAGGACGGGCCGTGGGGGCAGCGCCTCGGGGCGCCGCGAGGCCTTGGGGAGCCCGTGTGTCCACCTGCGGACGGCCGGGTGCACCGCCGCATGCGGGCGGCAGCCACAGGCGGGCTGGGCTCGCGTTTCTGGGCCCTGCGAGGGCGCCGGCCTGGCTGTGCTTCCTGGAGCCGCTGGGCTCGGGCCGAGAGGCTCCCCTGACCCCTGCCTTCCCGCGGTGGCCCCGGAACCACCCCCCACCTTTCCACAGCCTTTCGAGCACCGCTGCCCCCCCACGACCCTCGCGCGTCTGCCCCCCAGGTCACCTGTCGTGGTGGGGGGCACTGAGGCCGCAGGAGTCACTGCTGCTCCCTCCAAGGCCTGCCCAGCACCTGGCTTGGCCTGCACCCTGGGCAGCGCCCCAGCCCCTCCCACCCAGGGCCCCCCCACTCACTCTCTCATCTTGGGGGGCTGGCACTTCTCCAGCAGGTGCTGCTCATCATCTTTGTTAAACAGCGACGTCACTTCTTTCCAGCCCCGGAAACCTGCTCCCTGCACCTGGAAGGGTCGAGGAGGATCAAATCCACGTCGAGGTGAGTGGGGCACGGTCGGGGGCAGCTGGGTCATCCCGGCCTGCAGGCCCCACGGCCCTGCCCGGCCACCCGGCCACGCACAGGCCCCGGCCCCCGGCTGCGTGCAAGGAGGAGCCACGCTGGGCTGCTTCTGAGCCGGTGGTTCTGCAGCCCGCGTTCCATCGAGACGCGTTTGATACTCAACGTGGGTTTGGGCTGGAAGACGCAAGAGGGAATGACGCAGGCGGCCTCACAGCCCCCGGTGCCCGCCTGCCGGGGCTTGACGCCCAGGCCACGCAGGGAGGCGCCTTTCCTTTGGGGAGACCTTGCTTTTTAAAATACTGGACATGTCAACAAGGCAGCACCAGCCAAGGCAGGGGCGGCCACCGGCTCAGGCCGTGGCCTCTGCTTGTGCCACGCTGGGGGGCAGTGGACCTGTGCCCCAGAGCCCGGGGTCCTGCTGTGGCCCCTCGACACGGCTGGGCAGGCTGGGTGACGGAGAGGCAGGAACAGGGTGGGGCGGCGGCCCCTCCTCTGGAACACGCCTGAGTCCCCTCACACAAAACCCCAGCGGCCAGGACACAGCTGCCGGGCCGGCAGGAAGGGGGCGCTGTCCTCCAGGGGTGCATCCCACAGGGGCTGGGGGGCCAGCTCCAAGCCTGGGTCAGGGATGCGCCCACACAGGGGGGGAGAAACAGGCCGAGACCCTTGTGAGTCGGGTGACGGTTTCAGCCACCACCTGCCCCGACCCCTCGCACCATCCAGGAGGCTCCAGGGCGGGAAACCCCGTCCCATGTTGTGAGGGTGACAGGGAAGGAGACGCGCTGGAGTCAGTGACTCCCGACAGCACGTGTCCAAGGAGGTGAGGGACGGAAAACAGCCAAACAGCCTCCGTGGGCGCCTCAGGCGGAGCAGGAGGGAAACCACCGTGAAGGAAATGAGCTGAAGGAAAACACCCGGAGCGCCGCAGGGGCGCGCAGGCCACACTGGCCGCGGGGACAATCAGGAGGGCGGCCGCCGGAGGAGGGGGCGCAGGGGCCTGCGGGGGGCCTCCCTGTGGAGCCAGCCCGGGCGGGGCAGGAAAGAGGCTCCGCTGGCCAGCTGGGCCGGGCAAGTCCCAGGCTGCCGTGGGGGCCCCAGAGGGGTGCAGACCTGTACCCCCAGCAGATGAGGCCGGACCTCGGGAGAGCCGTGGGCCGGGACTGCGCCTTGAGAGCACCCGGCCCCCACCACTGGCACAAAAGCACCTCCCGCCTCTGCTGGCTGCCTCGGGCCCACGCAGGCCCTGCCCAGGGCTCCTGCCCCAGCGCCGGCCTGTCCACGCGGCTGGGAGGCCTCCCTCGGTCCGCACGCAGCGTGGGCAGCCGTGGGGGCACCCAGGCCAGGGGCTTCTCCTCCCTAGGGGTTGCGTGCGGCCCTCAGAGCCGTGGTCAGCGAGCTGGACCTCTGGGCCCCGAGGGACGCGGGGCTGGGCGCCTCCTCCTGGAGGCCTGGCCGCGCTGCCTGTCCCGGGGCAGGTCCTGGCGGAGGGGCCTCTCGGGCGTCGGGGGGCAGGGCCGGCCGCTTCCTGCTCACAGGGCTGACCCCCGGGCAGGCAACAAGCGGCACAAAGCGCGGGGCAGCTCCGGGCAAGCGCGGCCCGAGCGGAACCGGAACCGGAACCCGAGCAGCCGACGAGGCCCAGAGCGCACGCGGCGCGCCCGGGCAGCCCGCAGGGGCCCCGCCCGCAGCCCTGGCCCGCGGGGACGGAGGACGGACACGCAGACCCGCCCGCGTCCCGCCGCACTCAGCTCGGTGAGGTTCGGTGAGGTTCGGGCCCAGACACGAGCCACAACGCGGCGCCCGCGCCGGCCAGGCCCGCGCGAGTGGGCGCCCGCTGTCCCCCGCCCCCCACACCCGCCGTCCCCCCTCCCGCAGTCCCCCCCGTCCCCCCACACCCGCCGTCCCCCCACACCCGCCGTCCCCCGCCGTCCCCCCGCCGTGGACCCCGCCGTCCCCCCCCCCCCCCGCCGTCCCCCGCCCCCCCGCCGTGTCCCCCCTGCCCCCCGTCCCCCGCCGTCCCCCACCCCCCCACACCCGCCGTCCCCTGCCGTCCCCCCCGACCCCCGTCCCCCGCCGTCCCCGCCGTCCCCCGCCGTGTCCCCCCCCCGCCGTCCACACCCGCCGTCCCCCACACGCGCCGTCCCCCACACCGCCGTCCCCCCTCCCGCAGTCCCCCCGTCCCCCACACCGCCGTCCCCCCACACCCGCCGTCCCCCCACACCCGCCGTCCCCCCCGTCCCCCACACCCGCCGTCCCCCCACACCCGCCGTCCCCCACACCGCCGTCCCCCTCCCGCAGTCCCCCCCGTCCCCCACACCCCGTCCCCCCACACCGCCGTCCCCCCACACCCGCCGTCCCCCCACCCCGCCGTCCCCCCACACCCGCCGTCCCCCCCGTCCCCCACACCCGCCGTCCCCCCACACCCGCCGTCCCCCCACACCCGCCGTCCCCCCTCCCGCAGTCCCCCCGTCCCCCACACCCGCCGTCCCCACTCCCGCAGTCCCCCCGTCCCCCCACACCCGCCGTCCCCCCACACCCGCCGTCCCCCCACACCCGCCGTCCCCCCACACCCGCCGTCCCCCCACACCCGCCGTCCCCCACACCCGCCGTCCCCCCACACCGCCGTCCCCCCCGTCCCCCACACCCGCCGTCCCCCCACACCCGCCGTCCCCCCACACCCGCCGTCCCCCCACACCCGCCGTCCCCCCGTCCCCCCACACCCGCCGTCCCCCCACACCCGCCGTCCCCCCACACCCGCCGTCCCCCCTCCCGCAGTCCCCCCGTCCCCCCACACCCGCCGTCCCCACTCCCGCAGTCCCCCCGTCCCCCCACACCCGCCGTCCCCCCACACCCGCCGTCCCCCCCCCCCCCCGTCCCCCGCCCCCGGGGAAGCGCGGCGCGTTGCGGTGCCGCCGGAATGTAAACGGCAAAGGTGCTTTTTCTAGAAATGTCTCAAACTTAACCTGTTGCCGGAAGTCCATGGTCCCCTATAAACCCCCCGAGCGTCCCCCGAGCCCCAGCAACGGCCCAAAGGGCCGCGCCCGCAGGTAACCGGCCCCCCGCGGCAGGCCCGGGGCGGAGCGACTGCGCGGGGCGGGGCCCGGCCCGGGTGGGCGGGGCCCGGAGCTGGGGCGGGCGGGGCCGGGGCCTGGTGGGCGGGGCCCGCAGCTGGGTGGGCGGGGCCAGGAGCTGGAGTGGGCGGGCCCCGGAGCTGGGGTGGGCGGGGCCGGGCCGGGGCCCCGACAGGTACGCGCCGCCGACGGGGTCCTCGTTCCAGGCCGGACTCCAGACTCCGGCCCCGACGGCGCGTCATTCCCCACCGGAACGCGCGCGGGTGCGGCCGTGCGCCCCGGCCTCCCGCAGAGCCCGCGTCCCCGGCCGGGACGGCGCGGCCCCCGCAGGAGCCGCGCCTCCCCCTCCGACCCCGCCGCGGCCTCGGCGCCCCGGGGGCTCTGCTCGTCCCCGCAGCGCGGGGCCCCAGGGCGCGCCCGCCACGTGGGTGCCCGCCGCGGGGGGACACGCGCGGGAACGGGGTGCGGGGCGCCGCGGGGGCTCGGCCCCCCGCCGCCCGCCTTTCCCCAGCTCGGACACTCCGCAGAGCGCGCGGCTCGGGACGGCCCGGCGGGCGAGCTCCGGGCGGGCGCGGGGCCGGCGGGACCCTCCGCGCCGCGGTCGCTTGCGCAGCCGGCTTTGCGGCCAGGTGTCGCCGCGCCGCGCCAGGGGGGCCCGCCCGGGAGGCCCCCCGGGACCCTCGTGATCACGAGAGTCCACGCTCTCCGCACTTTCCGCGCGCGGCCCTCGGGCCGGGGAGCAGAGCCCGCTGTCCACGCGCGCCCCGCCCGCCCCGCGGCCCCCGCCGGCGCGAGGACCCGGGCTCGGGCCACCCCGGGCGGCGCGCGGGGCTCGGGACCAGCACTCGGGGCTCCGCCGGCGCGCGGCCCGGCCCCCCTGCGCGCCCCGCCCCTGCACCCGACCGCCGCGGCCCGCTCCCCTGCGCGCCCCGACTCCCGCGCGGCGCACCCCAGCGCCTCCGCGCCCCCACCTGCGCCCCCACCTGCGCCGCGGGGCCGGCGGGCAGCGCCCCGCGCAGGTCCTCCTCCTCCAGGGGGTCGTCCCGGAGCGCCCGGTTCCGGCGCAGCCTCCACATGCTGCGCGGCCTCGGGCTCCGGCGTCCGCGCGCCCCGCTCGCCCGTCCCCAGCGCGCGGACGCTCGGCTGCGGCTCTGGGCCCGGACGCGGCGGCGGCCACCCCGCCGGCCCCCCCGCCCCGCCCCGGCCCGCCCCGGCCCGCCCGCGCCGACCCCCGCGCCCCGGGCCCGCCCCCGAGGCCGCCCCTCCCGGCGCGCCCGGGGCCGCCCGCCGGGACCCGCCCGCCCCGGAGGCCGCCCGGCCGGCCGCTGACCGCGCGCCCTTCACCGCGGCCCCGCGCGGGGCGCCCCTCGCCCCGGGCCCCCGCCTCGGCCGGCCGACCCTGCCGGGCGCCCCTCGCCCGGGGCCCCGCACCCCCGGCCCCCCAGCCCGACCGGGCCGGCCCCCCGAGCCCCTGCTCGGACCCCTCACCCCGGCCGTGGGGCGCGGCCAAGTCCGCCGGGCGGGGGGCGGGGCGCGCGGCGGCGGCTCCGGTCACCAAGGCAACAGCCGCGGGACCCGGCGGGGCGCATGCGCACTGCTGGCGCGGTGCCCCCGGGAGGGCGGGCGACCCTGCGGGCCCGCTGTGCGGGGTCGCGCCTCCTCCCCAGCGATGCCCCCGACCCCAGCCCTGCGCCGGGCCCAGGCTCGCTGTGCGCCAGTGGAGGCAGGGCCGAGAGGGGCTGAGGAGGGCCGGGAGCACCCCGATTCCTGGGCCTGGAGATGGCCCCCAGCAGGCCCCAGCTCCTGGGGAAGCCACGCTTGCAGGGGTGAGGGCCGCCTCGCCGTCCACCGCGCGGGCGGGCCACTGAAGACCTTTGGGCAGGAATCTGGACAATCTGATTTCATTTTTCTGGCCTCTGGGGCCAAAGTGCCAACAGCATGAGTCAGATTTTAAATATGAGCAGCCACCTGGGACGCAAGACGGGACCCCACCTTGCATTCTCGCAGGGTCACGGGTCCTGAGATAAACAGGCCCCTACCTCCCTGCCCCACACACCTCTGGACCCTTCAGGCACACTGAGGTTGCGAAATGAGGGAAAGCAGAGGTCACTGCCCAGGCCGCTCCTGCTGGGCAGGCCTGGGCCTCACTGTCCACCTGCTCTGCCCCGCGGGGTTGGCCCTGCGACTGGGAGGGCAGGAATCCCAGGTGGCCGAGTGGCTAGGGATGGCCTGCTGGCCACGGTGCGGCCATGTCCCAGGGCCGCCGGGTGACCACTCACGAGCGTGAGCGCCGATGCAGAAGCTGTGACCAGGGGGCCTAGTGGGCCCGGCCGGCACCGATCTTGGGGTGCCGGAAGCTTCCGCCCCTGGCCCTCCTGTGCATGGCTCTCCTTGCAGATGCAGCCCCAGAGGGCTCCCAACGGTGGGCCCTCCGCACACGGGGCCCAGCAGGTCCAGGGCACAGGGCACCCCTGGGTGCCAGAGGCCATTGGGCCCACATGAGCCACTCACCCACACACTCATGTGTTTTATAAAACCAAGGCCGCTGCTGTTAAAGGCCAAGAGGAGCAGGTCAGGAGCTGAGCTCAGGGTGGGGACGCAGACCTGCTGCCTGCAGCGGCCTTGCTCAAGCCAGTCCCGAGCGCTCGCCGGTGTCCCTGCAAACTCGTCACAGGACGGGCGTGCCGCGCCTCCTGGAGGCCCCCAGAGCCTGGCGGCCTGGGATGGGGGTGCTGCTGGGGCTCCGGGGGAGCCTTCTGGTAGCCAGAACCGCCGGGAAGGAAAGGAGCAGCCCTGGGGCCCCCGTCCTGGAGGGCAGGGGTGGGGCCAGGCCTCTCAGCTGGGTGTGGACACTCTCTGTCCAGCAAGGCTGGCTGTGTCTCCAGGGGCACTCAGCCGGTCAGCCTGAGGGCGAGGAGCGGGCTCCCTCCACGGCCAAGACCCTCGCAGAGGGCCTCTCTCAGGCAGCTGCAGAGCAGAGGCTTCTCCACACTGATGGGCAGAGGCTCGGGGGCAGATGGAAGGGATTCTGCGCCCTCACTTGCTAACTCTGACCCTGGTCAGCTGGTTTGGCTTTTTGCTGTTTCCATCCCTGAGGCAGGGCTGGGAGCTGGGAGGGTGCAGGGCGCAGGTTGAATGGGGAGGCTGCATGCCACTGGCTGTGACCCCTCTGAGGCCCTGGGGCCAGAAGCTCCCTGAAGCTGCGGGGGTGTGGGGGGCACACTGGGTGCCTTGGAATCCCTGCCTCGGGGTGTCCCGCCCTGGCCTGCCCCATGGATCTGGGAACCCACCCCCCTAGGCTTCCTTCCTCAGGGGTTTTCTGGCACCTGCCCTGGCCACAAAGGCTGCGTTTTGCTTGGTGGGTCTGAGTGACCCCACTACCTGCAAAACCCCACCTCGGGGCTGCTCCTGAGCAGGCCCTGCGGTCCTCAGCCCACATCCAGGTTTGGGGTGACTGCCCTGTACGGGCTGGGGCTTCGGGGGGCCAGAGCAGGGCTCCAAAGTCAGAAAATGGACACACCGGCCCCCAGGGACCCCAGCCCCACTTGCCCCAGGCCCCACTGTCCCCCACCCCCATCCCATCCCCGCTTGCCCCTTGTCCCCCACCCCCACCCCAGCCCTGTCCCCCCTCCCCCAGCCAGAGAGCCTCGAGCTCCAGGGGCTGCCACTCCAGGCCCCTACCACCCCCCACTCTGCTGGCCCCACCCCTACCCCGATGCCCAGCCCCCAGCCCTGGTCCCCCACCCCAAACCCAGCCCCTCCCTCCAAGTGTCCCCTCCCACCCCATGGAGAGCGCCCCTCTTCCCTTGGAGTGCTCGCCCATCTGCCCGCAGCCCGTAGCCCGCAGCCGCATCCCGCCAGTGTTTACAAAGCCCAGAGCTGTGCCTGCTTGAGCCCAGGAGCCCAGCGCCAGGGGCCTCCGTGTGGGCACCGCCTGAGGGCACTCCTGTGCCGCTGGGCGGAGCGCTGGCCTGCTGGTCTGTGGCTACTCCCCACGTTCCTTCTGGTCCACCCCAGCACTGGGACACACAGCTGAAGGCACCTCTTCGAGGGGCTTGTCGTCCCTGTCGGGAAGGACGGCGTTTCCTGACCCCCTAGGTCCCGGCTGGGTCTGGGTGCTGATGAGGTGGAGGCCGGGAGAGCACCTGGCCATGCGGGGCCTTTGGGACGCAGGCCTGGGGCTTGCAGGGACAGCCAGCCGTGGGGAATTGACAGACGGGTCTGGGTGGGGTAGTGATCGACCGACCAGGAAGCCGCCAGCCTTATTTGTGCCGATAAGAGGGCCCCATCCTCCTGGTACGCGGGAACCGGATTTGGAGAGGAGGGCCAGGGAGGGGCAGGGTGACCTTCCTGCTCTACCATTTCCTCAGGCTCCATTCAGGGTGAGATAGTCAAGGCACCAGCGTGCCGTATTTTGGGGTAACAGGCCCTGGCCCCATCGCTCCCTCTGCCCCCTCCACGCTGGGGAAGAAAAATCAAGCTGTGTTCCTCGGTCTCCCCCTCCATGGCGCCTGTCCTGCCAGGGATGCCCCTGGAGCTGGCGCACCAGCACAGGAGGGTCAGACAGGGCTGGCCGCGCGCCCAGGGAGGTGGGCGCGGGGAACATGGCGGGCGGGTGTGGACAGGCGGGTTGCGGGCGGGGCTGGTGCGAGCCAGCGTGGACTCGAGGGCGGCCGGGTGCCGTGGGGGTGCGGTGGGCGGGGTGGGGACCGGCGGGGCTCGGCTCGCGGGCCCGGGCGCGGCTGGGCGGGCGACGGTGTGCAGGAATCAGAGCTGCGCTTTGCTCTCCAGCCTCGCCTGCGCGTTCCGGCCGGAGAAACCGCCTCGGGAGGACACGGTCCCCGCAGACGTTCTGAGGCTGTGCGAGCGGGCCAAGGACTGTCTTATCACGCAGAGCTGAAGGTGAGCCCGCCGCTGGGTGGGAGGTGGCCTCGCGGAGGGGCGAGGTGGACAGGTGGCCCGGTGAGGGTTGAGGGACACCTGTCTGCGAAGACCTCGGCGGAGGAGCTGAGCCGGCCCGGCCCGGCCCGGCCCGGCCCGCCCCGCCCCTCGCCTCGAACCCCGCCCCCGGCACCCGCCCCCGCCCCGCCCCCGCCGCCCGCCCCGCCCCTCGCCGCCCGCCCCGCCCCCGCCGCGCGCCCCGCCCCCGCCCCCGCCCCCGCCGCGCGCCCCGCCCCTCGCCGCCCGCCCCGCCCCCGCCGCCCGCCCCGCCCCCCGCCCCGCCCCTCGCCGCCCGCCCCGCCCCCGACGCGCGCCCCGCCCCTCGCCGCCAGCCCCGCCCCCGCCGCGCGCCCCGCCCCGGCCCCGGAGACGCCGCCCTGCAGGCCCCGCCCTCCCTGCGGCGGGGGCCTCGGCTCCGGCGCGCGCAGGACGCGCGGGCGGCAGAGGTCAGCTTTGCCCCTGGAGCCCGCCAGCAGGGAGGGGCCCCCGGGGCTGAGGCTCCGCTCCGGGCTCCCTGCCGCGGGAGGGCCGCGGGGGGCGGGGGTGATGCCCGCGCGGGCCGGGAGCGGGGACGCCGGCCGCAGCCCCGGACGTGGCCCCGCGCGCTCCCGCTCCGGCTGCCCGGCAGGAGCGGCCCGCACCCCGCCCCGGCCGGCCCCGCAGCCCGCCGGGTGGACACCCGGCTTTGGGGAGCGCGGGGTCCCGGCTCCCGTCCCCCCGCAGGCGGGTCGTGCCCGCGCGCCCCGCAGGTGCCGCGGAGCCGCCGGGACCACGAATCCCGCTCGATTCATTTCGGTAACGCTGGAGAGGCTGGTGGTTGCGGTCCCGGCAGGAGCCCTCGGCCCCGCCGCGTCTGGGGGGCTGCGGGGGCTGCTGTGACCTGCGGGGGCTGCGAGCCGCCAGGAACGGGCTCTTGCAGGCGCGCCCGCCCGCCGAGGCCCAGGGTCGCCTGCCCGGGAGCCAGGGGCCAGCCCGGCCCCGCCAGCCGGGACTCCGCGCGGCTGCTCGCCCGGCGCCGCCCTCCCGGGGGCCCAGCGGGGTCCAGAGGGCTGGGGGACCCCCACCCCGCCCCCCGCCGCTGGCTGCGCGCTCGCAGAAGCCGGGGGCAGGACGTCGGGGCCCAGGCTCGGATTGCGGGCGCCCTCCCAGCGCTCGGCCAGCCCGAGGGGCGCCCCGGCCCGGCTGGGGGTGACTTTGCGCCCCGCGCGGCCTCCGCGTGCCTGGCCGGCCGCGGGTCGGGCAGCCGAGCGCGCCTGATTTGCCGGCCCGTGGGGAGCCGTCCCTCGGCGCAGGCTGGCCCGTGGCACCCCGTGCCTGGGGCGGGTGGGGGTCCCCCTGGCCTGCTGCCGCTACCCTGGAGACTGGTTCACCCACTTTTGTTCACGCGTGGCTTTCTTTGCGCGCGGCTGGCTCCTCCTGGGACACCGCCAGGGGCAGGGACATGACGGGCAGGTCCGCCCGGGCTGGTTCTGGTCGCGGGCCCTGGAGGCTCCGGGCCGGGCCTGGGGCTCTCGGCTTCTCCTGGGAGGGGCCGAGCTGTGCATGGTGCTGTGGTCTGCGGGCGTGGGGGCTGCAGGGTGAACCTGGGGGCTGCTGCTGACCCGGGAAAGTCATGGGGGGACTAAGAGGCCCATTTGTTCTCACAGACAGATTTAGAAAGTGCTGGAGGCCAGCTGTCCACCCACTGTCTGGCCACCTCCAAAGCGCAGGCCGGCCCAGGGTGGGCACAGGCCTCCGGGCCGCTGGGCTTGCAGACGCCCTGGCCAGTGCGTGAGAGGACCCGCCTGAGCAGGGCAGGGTGGGCTTCCACCCGTGGAATCTTGTCTTTTCAGAGTGAGTGTGAAGCCCTGGGCGTTTTTTTTAGTGGCCTCCGTGCCTTCCATCGCCGATTTCATGCAAAAACATGACCGGAGGGACAGAGCGTTTCATTAGGGATGTGACAATTTTTAGAGTTTCCAGGACTGCAGCTGGAGCCAGCTAATGGCTGGTCACAAGGGGCGGGCACAGGGGTACAATTCAGCAGTCAGCGTGATTCTGCGTATTCCTAAATTCTCACCTATGCTTAGGGCCCCGGCGCCCACCACCCGCCACCTGGGCACCTCCTCCAAGCAGGAGCCGGCGTCTCTGCTCAGCCCGGCCGTTACCAGCCACGGCCGCTCGCCCGCTCGCCAGCAGCGCCCAGTGCAGGCTGCGGATGCCGTCAGGAGCGGAGCCAGGAGTCGCGTTCGCTGGAATTGGTTTTACACATTGTAAGCTAGAACCACTTTGAGCAAAATCGATATAGCATCTCACAGCTGTAATTAAAAGGAGAAAAATTAGAATATTCCCCACTACAGCCATAGCTTTAAAAACTCGACCTTACAGAGGGACAGGCAAGCACTGCAGGATTCCTCAGCTCTTGGAGCAAAGCTGGGAGGCTCAATGAAGTGCAGAAGCACGTTTGTCTGCACAGTGGCCTCCATTCCAGTGTTAGGAAAAGAGCAGAGAACCAGCATCCTGCCCCAAACAGACGCAGCCCCGCAGCCCCCACGACCGACTGCTTGGGGCCAACCGTGGAGGCGGCGCACAGTGCCCGTGGCCCAGGCAGCACCAGGGAGGCCTCCACGCACCTGCTGGGCCCACCCTGAGGGGCAGGGCTGGACGGCAGCGCCTGAGCCAGGCCCACGCTGTTGCCACGCAGGCCGGCCTTGTAGGCCTTCCTTGCAGCTTGGTAACAGGGCTGATCAACAGGGGGGGCAGTGGGCTCGTGGGTCCCAGTGTCTGGCGTCACAGCCCAGCTACCCAACCATCACCCCTGGAAATAGCACAGGTGCTGCTTTGGAGGCCGCCAGGTGGGAACAGGTGCCCACCACCTGGCGCTTGGGGGCCTTGAGGGGAGCCCTTCCATGCAGCTCCCAGCTTCCCCCTCCCAGTCCACCTCCTGGGAGCTTAACCACAGGGGCATTGGGGTAGAGGTCCCCAGGAAGGCCTCTCCCCCGGCAGATGGCTGCCTTTGGGTCCTCACATGGGGGCACCATTCTCTTTTGTCTGGGCTCCACCCCAAGACCCAGAACCCCCCAAAGGCCCACCTCCAGACCCAGCGCTCAGGACAGGCCTCAGCACCCCCTTGGGCACATGCTCAGTGCTCCAGGCTCCTGGCCACACTCCTGGGGTTCTGGGTTTTGTGCCAATGGATGAGATTTGATCCAGCTTCCAAAGAGCAGAGAACACCTCCAAGCCGGCTCTGTGGGGCCCCCGCGCCTGGTAACAAAGTCAGACCAAGGCACGCAAGATAGAAGATGACAGGGCCTCCCCAGTGGTGCAGCGGGTTGAGCGCAGCGCTGTGAGGCTGTCCGCAGTGTCTGCAGCGCAGGTTCGATTCCCAGCCGGCCAGGGAGGTGCCCACATGGTGCAGCAGACCTCTCCTGTCTCGCCCGCTGCTCCCCTCAGCAGTGTTATCAGTCCGTCTGCCTGCTCTGCTCCCCGCTCTGTCTCTGGTGAATCCTCTCACCCGCCCGCACGTCTGGCCTGTACCCCAGCTCTTATATAAATAAATCTTAAAAAAAAAAAAAAGATAGAAGATGACAGTCCAGTTTGGACTCACAAATATTGAGGCAAAACTCCTCAACAAAATGCTCACCACCAAGGCTCAGTGGCCAGAAGGCGCACGTCCCCCCCGGGCTGCCCAGGGCAGCGCTGGACGCCTGCAGGGCGCCCACAGGACACCACACGCAAAGGGGGACACATTCCCAGTGGAAGCAGAAAACGCTTTGGACAAAATCCAACATTCTTTCATGATAACAACACTCAAAACAGGAATAAAGAGAAAATATAGCTGATTTCATCTTTGCACACAGGAGTCATGTCTCCGGTACTTCACATTAGTCTTTGATATTTTCTTGTTAAATATTAGCTGTCTGTGAATAGGCGACTTCACTGCTGTTTTTCAGGAAGAACGTGTGTGATCCAGTAACTAAAGAGCGCTGAGATTACTCTGGCATGGTCTGAAAAGCAAAATAAAACAGAAATCATAAACCAGTAATATTTTGTAGCCATCGGCCTTGCGGCCCAGGGAGGACAGTGCAGGGGATGTCGGGGTGCCAAGCCCCGCCGTGAGCCCTGCATGCACAGGAGCATTGGGCCCCACGCACAGGGTGGACGTGGCCTCGCGTGAGGCCACACGCGGGCTTTGCTGGGACAGCACGCACAGCTGCTGGACGGGGCGGGGGGCGGGGTGTGGGGTGGCGGCGCGTGTGTGAGGGCCCAGCGGAAGCAGCGACGGGCGTGGGGAACACCCAGCGTGGGCTGCCGGGCCTTTCCTGGCCCCCGGCCCTCACTGGATTGGGGGGCGGCCCGCACGCCACCAGATGAGGCTGCTGACAAGGACGCTCGTGGGCCGCGGCCACCCCGACGTCCCCAGGGGCTGGCGCGGGAAAGCGCAGGACATGCCTGGCGTCTGACAGAACCACGGCTTTATTTTAGGAAGTGGCTTGACACGGAGCGGCTGTACACGCACGTCCCAGGGGCGCCAGAGGGGACCCCGCGGTCATGGACACCGCCCGGCACGAAATGCAGCCCCCGCGCAGGACCAAGACCCACAAGGCCCGCCCGGAGCCGGCTGGAGCCAGGCGCTTTCCAGCGTGAATTTTAAAATGATTGACTTTCGCTCCCCCTGAGAACTTGGCATTAGTTCAGCCCAGTGAAACTGACGTTTTGCATTTTGAGGTGAGGCTTTCATGGAAACCTGAATTCTCAGAAACGAACCTGGAGCGGTGCCAGCACCGGCTGCGCGCCGACCCGGCCCCACCCCGCCCCGGCTCCTGCCGTCCAACAGCACCTGGGGGTTCACAGGCCCCTGCCCAGCTCCGGGGACCCCGCCCCGCCCCATGGGCCAGCGCAGCCCCACACGCGCAGCCCCGTGCCAGAGGCTGGTTACGCACCGGGCGGCAGCTCGCAGCGTCCCGGGAAGGCCTCCAGTGCTCCCCGCAGCCCCGCGGCGTCCCCCGACAGCAGCAGCGTCTGCATGTGGTCCAGGAGGCGCAGGTCCGAGGGCGCCAGGCCGTGGGTTTCCAGGTGCCGGAGGAGCCCCTCCGCGGTTTCCATGGAGACAGCCGGGTCGGAGACGCCTGGACAGAGGGGACAGGGCTCAGGGGCGCAGGCGACGCTTCCTTTCCTGTCCGTCGGGCCGGGTGAGGGACAGGGCGGCCGGACAGGCATGTCTCCCTGCTGACCCGGGATGCCCATCAGCCACTGCTCCAAGGGTCTGATCTTGTAAAGCCCCCCAAAGCTTGGAGCGGCCAGAGGCAGGCGCAGCGGGTCGACAGGCAGCAAAGCTGTGGTCCCCAAGGGGCCGGGGGGGTTCTTCATTGCCCTGAGCAGCGGGTCGGGCCCTGGGCCCTAGGTGTTGCCAAAGGCGTTAGCCCGGCCCAGCAGCCACAGGACCTTCTGACCCTGTGACTTGACAGCGCTCGCAGCTCTGAAAACCTCCGGCCCCGGGTGCCAGCTCCCTGCAGCCCCCTGCGGCCGCCCTAGCCCACTCCAGTGGCCGCTCGGACACCCCCCAGCCCCTCACTTGGTCACACAGCGCAGTCCAGGATCTCCAGGCCTCAGGAGATCACATCAGCTGGTGCTCTGCGTCTTCGCGTTGTTCCCTTACCGTTTTGCGCTCCTGCCTGACAACAGATCTCTTCTCGCCCGTGAGGTGCCTGGGCCTGGGGTGCGCGCGGAGCCCAGGGCTGGGTTGCAGAGACTCGGCCGGCCTCTGCTCAGCCTGCGCGCGCAGAGTCCACCCTCACTTGGCGCTGAGGGCCCCGGGGGCCAGCGCCTGGAGACCCGACACACACGCCCGGGCAAACCTCCTCCCGGAGGTCCCGCCCCATGCTCGCCTGCATTTCCGGGTCTTGGTCATGAGAACGCGGTCAGGTGTCCTGCTGGGGTCAGGGTCTGCCAGCCCCACCTTCCCTGACCCCCGGGGGGCAACTGGGGGGGGGAGGGCGCGGCTGCCCCGGGCCTGGCTGGGCCCAGGCTGGCTCTGAACGGGCCCCGCCCTGGCCAGCCCAAACTCGGGTGGAAGCCCAGGAGCCCGCACCAGAGTGCAGAGAACAACTATTTCTAGACTCTATAAATACACGGGGTTGCCAAGTTGCGTCTGAGGGGCCTTCAGTCTGGGGTCACCCTCGCTGGCGCACAAGGGGCAGCTCCCCAAGGAGGTGCCGGGCCACTCCCCCCAGAAACAGCTGGAACCTGGGATCCCAGGGAGCCGCCCCCCCCCCCCCCGCCCTGAGGCCACGCTCCTGGGTGGCTCTGCCGGCCCCTTCCAGACTCCCTGAAGAGCTTCTGCTTCACAGCGAGTGGCGTGTGTTGGATGCTGTCCTCATCCTACATTCTCACACAGTTATTCTTCCACACAGGGGGATGCCCTCCCTCAGAGGAAAAGAGGAAAGCGCGTACCGTCATAAAAGTAAGTTTCCTGCGTGGACTTCAGGAAGCTCAGGAGGCTCTGGGCGGGCGGGGAGGCCCCGGCCAGGTCCCCGGCCTCCCCCGCCTCCTCGCCCTGCGGGGCCGGCTCCTGCCCGCAGGCCTCGGGCTGGTACGTGAAGTCCAAGCCGGGGCTTGGTTTTGTCAGCAGACCAGCTGCTTTCTTCCTTTTAATTTGCTGCTTCTTTTTCAGTTTCCTTTTTTTATTTTTGCTTATTGTGGGGCCATCTGTGTGCTGCGGCTGCAATTCTTTTTGTAAAAGGCTTTGCTGTTTCTCTAATTCTGCTTGTTCTACATGAACATTATTGGGATTTTTAAATTTTTTCTTTGACTTGTGCTTTCGAATTCTTCTCTTTGGCTGATCATGAGGATCCTGGTCTAGGAAAAAAATTCAAATACATGAATTTAAAAAAATTAAAATTAAAGTACAAAACTGAGTTCTCCTGAGTTGACCAGGCAACGCCTAACATGTCAGGTGAAGAACACGTCCCTAATTCTACCATTTGGAAGGCGCCCCTGGGGGGGAGGAGTTTAAAATGCCCTCGGGGGTTGCAAGTGCGTCAGAGTTTCTGACCCTCCGTCAGGAAGGCCCGCGGGAAGCTGGTCTCCACCGGTCTCTGAGGTCAGACCCTCACAGCCGTCTGGGAAAGGTCTTGGGAAGGGCCGGACCCCTGCTCAGGGGGCTCTGAGAGGGGGACTTAAGTTGGCCCGGGAGAGGCGCCCAGGCCCCCCAAGGGCTCGGCTCCCACGGCCGTTTCCAGGATCTCGGGACTGACTCTCCACCTCAGGGATTTACAAGGCTGGAAAGTGTAGAAAAATGTCTGGCACACCAAGACTCGCGCGGGCACCCCATGGGGTAGGCCGGACTTGGGGCCACAGACTCCCCCAAAGGATCCCACGTCCAGCAGCTCCAGACAGGAGCGGGTCTGGCTGTGACACTCAGGGCGGTGGCCTGGCCTCCTGCAGAGGCGCCCCCCCCACCCCTGCCCCCACTCACCCTCCTCCTCGCTGCTGCTGCTGCTGCTGCTGCTGCTGCCACTGGGGCTCGGGGCGTCAGGGCCGCAGGGTGGGGCTAGGGGTGCAGGCAGGTACCCCTCGGGCGGCAGGCTCACGGTGTAGGGCCGCCTCCTGGCCAGGGCCTGGCTGGGGCCGCCTACAGGGGCAGACAGCGTGTGGGGACTGGTCAGCCTGCAGTGGGGTCCCGCCAGGCCAGGTTCACCCCCTGGGGCTGTTGGCACTTATTTTAATAAGCTGAGAATTTCGCCAGAGGAGTGAGTTCACGCGGCGGCTCTTTAGCTCCGCGTTAGGTACTTCTGTGAGCCTCTGGGTTTTCATAACGTGATGGAAAAGCATAAATAATTCTCCAGTAGGACGCAGGAAAAATAATCCACTTGACATCATCACATCAGGGGCTGCAGAGCATGGGGGGGGGGCGCTGGCGGTAGGGTGGACTTGGTTTTGGGGTGATAAGTCTGCTCTGGAAGGTGGTGGACGGGCAAATATGCTGGGGGGAGGGGCTGCCTGCCGCGGGCTCTCACCTGCAGCACGCACACCTGGCCGCGGGGCGCCCCCACCTGGCGGCCGAGCGCCCCAGGCCCTCCCAGGCTCCGCCTCTGGCCCTGGCTCCGCGCTCTCTGGAGCTTCCTGGTGGGCGGGAGGTGCCCCCTGCTCCCCAGCTCCCGGTGCTCCCGCAAAAAGCCTCTTCAGCACTTTCTCAACAAACACTGCAGGCGACAGGACAGAACATGATGGCGGGCTCCTCGCGTCTCTCTTCCTGCAGCCGCGCGCAGACTTTCATCATGGAGGTCTCATCTGCCGGTGGCTGAAGCCACGTCCCCAGAGCACCCTGTGCGCACAGGGGCCAGTCTCCCCAGGCCACTCAGGGCGCACCCCGGCCCCTGAGCATGGAGCTCCCGTCATATCTCCTCTCCAGTTTATTTCTAAGTGGCACAGGCTGGGTACCAGAAGAAGAAGTTGGGGTGAGGTACCCCAAGTGCAGCCCCAAGGGTCAGCCCGTGGTGTGCACCGGCCACCTGGAGGCCACACAGAGGCTGAGAGGAGGCAGCTCTGCGGCCGCCGACCCAGGGGTCTCTGGTGGGACCCCACATTCCAGTCTCCACGGGCCCTGGGCAACGCACAGGCTGGGGAGCTCGGGGCTGCAAAGGGTGGACGTGAGAGGGACGAAACCGCGTTAGCCAGGGACACTTGGACACCAGCACCAAGGCAGCTGCTGGGGCAACCCGGGGGGCCCGCCTTCTGGAGAGCGCCGTTCAGACAGGGCCTGGCCTAGACCCCGGTGACCGCCTGAACACCCCTCACCACAGGCCAGCCGGCTGCAGAAGGCTCTTCCTGGGGACACAGGCTGCTTGAGGGAGGCCTTAAAGACACGCTGTGTGCCCAGGGAGTTGCAGGAAGGCCCAAGGCCAGCCAGATACGAAACTGTCCTATGCACCCCCTTTCCAAGTGTAGCCCCAAGGGTCAGCCTGGCCACAGACAGGGCAATTTCTTGGGGAACAAAAGGCAGAACAAAAGGCACACCCCACTTGCCCCGGCAAGCCAGAACCCTCATGAACTGGAAGAGCCTTGAGATGCCCGCCCCATGGGCTGCGAGGCCCGCACCTGGGACTGAGAAGGGGCCAGCAGGGAGGCTCTCACCCCGAGACCCCGCCGCCCAGACCGGACCCACCCACTGACACGGGAGGCTGGTCTGCGGACCCGGCCGGACAAGGCTCAGGCCGGACTCACAACAGGGTCTGCAACCCACACCAGGTCTAGAGGAGACAGCCCCTGAGAGGGGCCCTGGCCAGAGGCCACGGGCAGGAGGCCCCTGTAGCTGCAGCCCCGCTGTGCCCTGGGCTGGCCGGATCCCCTTGCCTGAGCTCCCTGGGGGAGGGCGGGGACAGCTGGGCCCAGAATCACCTAAAAGGGCCCCAAGCCTCTCCCTGGCTCCTTGGCCACCAGCACACGTCACCCTGATTCTCCTTACTGTCCAGCCCATGAGAGCTTGGCTGCGTGGGTGGGGGGCGGTGAGGACACGAGGGAAGGCCGTCGGGGTGCACAGGCCCTCTGCTGCTGCCCCCAGCACTGCCCCGGGACCCTGGCCTGCGTCCTCCACTCCCTGGCCCTCAAGCTTCCCCTGCGGCGCAAAGCTCAGCATGCAGTGCAGCTAGGCTGGTGCAGCTAGGCTGGTGCAGCTAGGCTGGTGCAGCTAGGCTGGTGCTGCTAGGCTGGTGCAGCTAGGCTGGTGCAGCTAGGCTGGTGCTGCTAGGCTGGTGCAGCTAGGCTGGTGCAGCTAGGCTGGTGCAGCTAGGCTGGTGCAGCTAGGCTGGTGCTGCTAGGCTGGTGCTGCTAGGCTGGTGCAGCTAGGCTGGTGCAGCTAAGCTGGTGCTGCTAGGCTGGTGCTGCTAGGCTGGTGCAGCTAGGCTGGTGCAGCTAGGCTGGTGCTGCTAGGCTGGTGCTGCTGCGGACGGTGCTGACCAGGGCCATGCGTGGCTTTGGGAGCTGCGTCCCTCCCAAAGGCCACACCGCAGGGGGTCCCCTCCTGCATGCGCTCTGGCCCCTCTGCAGTCACGGACACCCTGCTGCCCCAGTGCCCTCAGTCAGGGCCCTGTCCACGCGGGCCGGCACCGAGTCCCTGGGAAAGGTGGCGCGTGGGGGCCTCGCTGCCCCACCCCCTCTGCTGAGCGGCCCTGCGTCCCGCCTGCCGCGCGGGCCACCCCCTGCTGACCAGCATGTCAGGTCCAGCAGCTGCGCGGTGTGGCGGTCGCAGCCTGACCCCTGCCCTGGGCCGGGCTAAGTCACCGCGGGCAGAGGCCGCTGGCTCTGTCGCTTCTGCTCCCGCAGCTGGCCGGGTCGGGGCCAGGCTGGGCCAGGGGCCGCGCAGGGGACGGCGGCCCGGGCCCTGGCAGCACCGCGGCTGGGCGCGGGCGGCCCGGCCTGAAGCGCGGCTTCCCGCCCGCAGCGACCGCCAGGGCCAGGCGGGAGGGAGGGTCGCGCCGGTGGGGAAAACCACGCGCGGGGGACAAAGCCCGTCGGGGGGGCCGGGCCGGCCCGCGCGGGGGGCGCGTCCTGCGGGGACCCGGGGGTCCCACGCGGCTCTCGGGGCCGCGGCCGCGCCCGCCGTTTCGGTTTGAACACCCGGGCCCCGCCCTGCGCCCGCCGCCCGGCCCGGCCCGGCCCCCGACCCTCGGGTCCCCGCGCCCCGAGGCCCCGCCGCGCCCCCGAGAGCCCCGCCCGCGTCCCCGAGAGCCCAGATGCCCCCGTCGCGTACCGGAGAACCCGCCCCCGCGCCCCGGGACCCCCTACCGCGCCCGGGACCCCCTACCGCGCCCCGGAACCCCTACCGCGCCCCGGGCCCCCTACCGCGCCGCCGCGCCGCCGCCATGCAGCCCGGCCCGAGCGCAGCCGCCCGGAGCGGCGCGGCACTTCCGGGTCCGCCCCCGAGGCCCGCCCCCCGCAGCGCGCTGCCCAATCCGGATGCAGGATCTGCCGCCGTCAGCCGACCCGACGCGCCCCCGGGCGCAGATTGGGCCGTCCGGGGAGGTGGGCGTGGCCTCCGCGCGCAGCCTCGGAGCATGCGCGGGGCGACTGCCTGACCCCGGCCGGCCGCCCGGCTGCTGGGCTCGGCCGCCGCGAGGGGTCCGCGGCCGGGGACGGGCCCCGGGAGGGGTGAGGGTCCGTGGGGAGGCGCCGGGGGCCTCGGGGGTGCCCCTCGCGGTCTCCCGGCCGCGGGAGCCCCTCCCAGGGCGGCGCGTGTGGGCGGCGAGGCCGGCCCGGAGCCCCCCGGCCCCGCCCAGGCACGCGGGCTCGGGATGCCGGGCAGAGGGCGCTGCCTCTGGGAGGGGCCCCGGGCCCGCGAGCCCCGCCGTCCCGGCCCCGCCCGCCGCTCGGCCGATGGGGTCCTTCCCGCAGGCTGCCCGGTGGGGCGGAGGCGGCCCCGGGGGGCTGCCCGGGGGGCGGGGCCTCAGAGCCGGCGGGAGAGGAAGAGGGGGTTCCCCAGCACCCCAGCCCGGCAGCCCGGAGCCGGGCCACGTGGGCCAGGGCGGCACCACCCCCCTCAGAGCTGAGGATGCGGGGCGGGAAGGGCCAGCAGAAGCCTGGGGGGCTGCGGGCAGGTGGAGGGGGGCTACGGGCAGGTGGAGGGGCTGCGGGCAGGTGGAGGGGGATGCGGGCAGGTGGAGGGGGGCTACGGGCAGGTGGAGGGGGCCTGCGGGCAGGTGGAGGGGGCTGCGGGCAGGTGGAGGGGGCCTGCGGGCAGGTGGAGGGGGTCTGCGGGCAGGTGGAGGGGCCTGCGGGCAGGTGGAGGGGGGCTGCGGGCAGGTGGAGGGGGGCTACGGGCAGGTGGAGGGGGCTACGGGCAGGTGGAGGGGGCCTGCGGGCAGGTGGAGGGGGGCTACGGGCAGGTGGAGGGGGCCTGCGGGCAGGTGGAGGGGGCCTGCGGGCAGGTGGAGGGGGCCTGCGGGCAGGTGGAGGGGGGCTGCGGGCAGGTGGAGGGGGGCTGCGGGCAGGTGGAGGGGGGCTGCGGGCAGGTGGAGGGGCCTGCGGGCAGGTGGAGGGGCCTGCGGGCAGGTGGAGGGGGGCTGCGGGCAGGTGGAGGGGGCCTGCGGGCAGGTGGAGGGGCTGCGGGCAGGCGGAGGGGGGCTGCGGGCAGGCGGAGGGGGGCTGCGGGCAGGCGGAGGGGCCTGCGGGCAGGCGGAGGGGGCTGCAGGCAGGCGGAGGGGCCTGCGGGCTGGCGGAGGGGGCTGCGGGCAGGCGGAGGGGGCTGCGGGCAGGCGGAGGGGCCTGCGGGCAGGTGGAGGGGGGCTGCGGGCAGGTGGAGGGGGGCTGCGGGCAGGTGGTAGGCCTGCGGGCAGGTGGAGGGGGGCTGCGGGCAGGTGGAGGGTGTGCAAATGTAGACACGTTAGTTTGAGGGGCTCTGACCGTGGGTTGGAGCCCGGGGAGAGGGTGTCCCGTCCTCACAGAGGCAGCATGTGAAGCTGCAAGGCTGCCTCAGGTGGGGAAGGGCAGAGCTCTGACTTCGGGGAGAGGCGGGAAGGGCTGGCGCGCGCTGCGGGCGCTAAGGGGCCTGGCGTCCTGAAGCAGTCAGGGGGGCCCTTCTTGTCCAGGGGCCCAGGCGCTGAGATGCACCTCACAGGCAGCTGCACCTGTCCGGGAGGTGGCAGGGGACCTAGTCAGGCAATTTTGTTGAGGTGCTGGAGGCAAAGCCCGGGGGAGCTCAACGCACGGGAGACGCCTGGCAGACATCACTCTGTGCAAGGCAGGTGCAGGCCTCTAAGATGGGGCGTGTGCCTGCAGAGCCGGGGGCACATGCGTGTGCACGCACACACGTGCACAGTGTGTGTCCTGCAGGGCCTGATTAAGTTGAGACTGGAAAGTGAGTGAGTGGTGGAGCAGAAACAGCAAGATGAAGTAGGCACAGGCCTTCGCAGGCCCGGGAGGGCATGTGGGCAGGGGTGTTCCCCGCCCCTGGGTGCTCAGGGAAACACACCGAAATGGCAAGGGAGCCCCCGCACCCCCCCCAGCTCCCCGGTGGGACCCCAGCCCCGGTGCTGCGAGTGGGGGCGGCAGGAGCCCGTGAGCTGGGCAGTCTGGAGTGTCACCCGGCCAAGCTTCCTCCTTCACCACAGCTGTACCCCGAGGTAGCTTCACCCCAACGATTTGAAAGCTTTTTTTTTTTTTTTAATAGAGGCATGTTTATTTATTTATTTGTTTGTTTGTTTGTTTTTTGTTTATACAAGCACTGGGTACAGTCAGAAGCGCGGGAGGGTGAGAGAATCCACCAGAGCCAGAGCGGGGAGCAGAGCAGGCAGAAGGACCGAAGGACACTGCTGAGGGGAGCCGCGGGCGGCAGGAGAGGTCTGCGCGCCATGCGGGACCCTCCTCCGGTGGCCGGGGAGCAGCCGGGGATCGAACCGGCGTCGCAGAGGCTTCGGCAGCTTTGCAACCCAGCGCTCAACCGCTGCGCCACCGGGGAGGCCCAATTTGAAAGCTTTTGTGCACAGAAAGCTGCACACGGATGTTACAGCCGCTTCCTCGGGAACCATCAACAAATAGAGCCAGAGGGCAGCAGGGACTGGCTCAGTGAGCTGCTGCCGGCGGGCAGCGCCATGTCACCATCCCTGCGAGAGGGGGCGTCCCGCACCGGGACGCAAGGGGTCCAGGGGCACCACTGGGTGAGAGACGCCACGCTAAGAAAGCCACACCCGCGGTGCCTGCTGCAGCACGTCCTGGAGCAGGCGAGGCTGCGGGGACGGGGGTCAGACCAGCCCCCAAGACTGTAAGGCCGCAGAGACGGCCCTGTTCGCTGTTCGCTTGTCCAAGCCACAGGTCAACACCCGGTGTGGACGTCGTGACAGGACTGTGCACTCGGGGCGATGCTGTGCCCCAGGTCCGTCGGTGTAACCATGAGCCACCTGGGGGTGGGGGGGCACAGGACACCTCTGTACCCCCCTTTGATTTTGCTGTGAACTGTAATTGCTCTAAGAAATAAAGTCTATTTTGGACCTCCCCTGGTGGTGCAGTGGTTGAGCGCTGGGCTGCGAAGCTGTCCGCAGCCTCGGCAGCGCGGGTTCGATCCCCAGCCACTGGCGAGGGTCCCACATGGCGCGCAGACCTCTCCTGCCGCCCGCTGCTCCCCTCAGCCGTGTCCTTCGGTCCTTCTGCCTGCTCTGCTCCCCGCTCTGGCTCTAGTGAATCCTCTCACCCTCCCGCGCTTCTGACTGTACCCAGGGCTTGTATAAATAAATAAATCTTTGGAAAAAAAAAGAAATAAAGTCTATTTCAAACAAGGAATAAAGCAGGCAGCAGAGGAACAAGGGGGCCACGTGTGTGGCCAGGCTGCCCGCACCTGCGACCTGCCGTGCTGCCCAGGAGCGGCCCAGAACACGGCTTCCTTCCAACCCGCTCTCCAACCCCAGTTCACCCAGACATAACGGGCCCAGAGCCCCGGGGGGGCAGCAGGTGCCCCACATGGGCTATGAGGCGGCCTCCTCCAGGTGCCCCGTCCACCTCCCAGAGTCACAGCTCTAACCTTCCTCTTTTTTTTTTTTTTAAAGATTTATTTATTTATACAAGAACCCGGGTACAGGCCGGATGAGCGGGGGGTTGAGAGGATCCACCAGAGACAGAGCGGGGAGCGGAACAGGCAGCCTGACGAAGGACACTGCTGAGGGGAGCAGCAGGTGCGACAGGAGGGGTCTGCTGCGCCATGTGGTTATCTCCCCGGCTGGCCGGGATCGAACCCGCGCTGCAGAGGCCGCGGACAGCTTCACAGCGCTCGCTCGACCCGCTATGCTTGACCCACTGCGCCACCGGGGAGGCCCTGGGATCCTCCTGTTGAGTGTGGGTTTCCTCCTTCAGACCCCACATCCACCTGAGCCCATGCGCCCTTGCCCGGCTCACACCCAGCGTCCTGGGGAGGTCCGTGCACAGCCAGCCCGCCAGCCTCCCCCCCCCCGCCCGCTCCTGCCGAGCCGGGCCATCAGCAGAGGCAGCGCCGCTCCTCAGTGCTCCTCCACACGGGCTTCCGAAGGTGGCGTCCACCAGCCCGGGGTGCACATGCGCCCACTCCTTTCCTCCTCAACCGGACCCCGGAAGCAACTCCAGGAGCAGCCGTTTGCTGCATCCTCCAGCGCGGCCAGCCTTGCAGACATCACAGACCCGCCCCCGGCTCGCCCCGCTCCTGGCCCCACCCCACCTCCTCCTCAATGGCAGGTGATCGCTGGGCCCCCTCGTCCATGGGCCTGACCACCGCTCCCGCCCAGGGAGGACGGCTCACATGCAGGGGTGTGGGAGCAGGCGCCGAGACGCCCTCCACACGCAGGGAAAACTTGCACCAAGGGAGAGAGGGGCCGGCGCTGAGGGGTCGGGGGGCAGGGACGATGCCAGCACCAGCTGTGGGTGGCCTCTCCCTGCACCACCCGCACCGCCTTCCTCTCTCCCTGCGGCGGAATCTGCCAGCACTCGGGCTGGGCGGGGGCATGGGGCAGCCTTGCCTTCCCCTGCTGGGTGGCCTGGGGCCATGGCGGAGCTTGGCAGCTGGGGGCCTCTGTGGTGTCCACCGCCGCGGGAAAAGTCCCCTCTCCCTGCCGCGCCTGGTTCCTTCATTCCAGACACACCGACCCCCGCCGACCGTTCGTCCGGAAGGAAAAGCCCCAGGCCTGCCCGTCCCCAGCCCCTGGACGGCCCCTGTCTGGTGCCCACGCACCCTGGCCTTCATCTCCAGCGCCCGCGGGCCTGCCCCATGCCACAGCCCTGGGCCTGGGCACCAGCCTCCCGTGGGCCTTGCTGTGGGCCTTGCACAGGCAGGGGTGGGGGGTGCGTGACGGCAGGGACGGCCCGGGAAGGGATGGCCGGCCCTTTCCAGCCCAGGCAGCCTGTCCAGGCCCCTCCGCCTGCCCCTCTGGGGGCCCAGCCAGACAGCCCCGCGGGGGCCATCCCCTCCACGCTCACCCTGCGTTTCCTGCGTGCTCTTCTACTTCCTCACTCTGGTTTCCCAGGATCGAGTCCCCCCACGCCCCCCCACTACCTGGCCTACCTAAGTCCACCCTCAGGACCTGCCTGAGCAAAGTTAACCTGCGATTTCCTGAGCGAGCCCGCCCCCCAGCCCCACCCCAGTGTCCTCGCTGCCCCCTGGGTCGCAGGTGCCCCCCCCCCACTGCCCGAGGGCCGGGCCCTGGTGGCTGGGCTGGGGTCACTGCTGGGCACCCACAAAAGGGTCACTCAGATCGTTTTTGTTACTTTTTCTGTGGCCCTTGTACGGCCGCTCCAGTCACAGCAGTGGTCCTTGATCCAGATGTTTGAGGGTCAGCACACAAGTCCTCCATCGCTGAGCGTGGAGACAAACTGGAGGATGCTGGACATGCTACAGGGCAGGGAGGGGCAGCCCAGACCCGGCGAACCTGCCTGGTCGAAATAGGTTCTGCCCCCCGCCCCCCCATCAACACAAAACACAGGAGACTTTAGTGGGAAGGACTTAGCACAAGTGGTGAGCACCACGGGACAGGCGAAGGACACAGTCTACACCCAGCACCCACAGGCACCCGCCCTGGCGGGTCAAGGTCCACCCAAGCGGGACTGGCCCAGAGCAGGCCCCGGAGCTGCCACGGTCTAAAGCTCCTTCCAGGGGGACCCACAGAACAGGGTCGGAAATCACCGGACAGGCCTGGGAGGAAAAGAGCAAAGTCAAAACCAAGACAACACCCGCCAAGGCCCCTCCCCACGGGCCTCCCCCGCGTCCGTGTCCCCGGCCCTGACCACAGGCACGAGTGTCGGCTCCTCCCGCGGCTCCCCTTCTGGCTCGGTCCCGCTCCGCCCCGGAAACCTGAGGCCCCCCAGTGCCCCCCGTGGCGCCTTCTCTCCCTGCGCAGCTCCACCCTCCCTTGGGCGGGGCGGGGCGCCTGGAGCCCCCTTTCCTGGGGACCCCCTGTTACAGGAACGGGAGGCAGGACTCCTCCGCCCGCTCGTGCCCGCAGCCTGGGAACTTCCCGTCACGGGCGGAATCTCGGGCGACCGACATTCTGGGGCTGGAGGCTGCACTCCGGACAGACGGTGTCAGGGAAAAGGCGGGGCTCCAGGGGCCCCCCCGTGCCGAGGGCATCCCGGGTTTGCTCGCGCGCCCAGGTGCCGGGGCTGCGCGGGTGCCCCTAGCCCGGGCGGCGACACCCCGCTGGGACCCCGCCCGCCCCGCCCGAGCGCAGCGTCCCGGCCCAGGCGCCCGCGCGGGGCAGCGGGGGCGGCGGGGGGAGGGGCCGCCGGGCGGCGAGCGGGGTTCTCGGAACCCGCAGGCGGGGCGGCTCGGGCAGGGCCCCCGCGCCCCGTCAGGCCGTCGCCCGCCCGGGGCGCGCGTGGGCAGCACCCCCGGGAGTCGGGGCGCGCGGCTGCCCGGCCCACCTCGGGCGCGGGGCGCGCGGCGGGAGCGCGGGCGGAGGAGGCCCCGGCCCGCCCGCGGCGGCGAACCCCGGTGTCCGGGCCGGCCCCGCGCGCCCCGCCGCTCCGCGCAAGAGTTGGCGGCGGGGCGGGCGCGGGGCGCAGGCGGGGCGCAGGCGGGGCGCGCGGGGCGGGGCGGGGCGGGGCGGGGCGGGGCGCGCGGGGCGGGGCGCGCGGGCGGGGTCTGCGCGCGGCGGGGCGCTGTCCCCAGGTGCGGCGCCGGCCCCCCGAGCCGCCGCGGCCGCCCCCACGCGCCGGAGCCTCCCCGGGCGCCGAGTGCGCAGGCGCCGGGCGGGCCCCGAGTGCGCGGGGCTGGGCGCGCGGTGGCGGCGGCGCACGGACCGCGGACCGACCGGCCGAGCGCGAGGCGCGGCTCCGGGGCGGAGCGGGCCGGGGGCGCCGGCCTGAGGGGCGCCCGCCCGCGGGCGCGGCTCCTGCTGCGCCGGCAGCGCCGAGGATGTCCGCGCGGAGCACGGTGCGAGCCGCGGGGCGCGGAGCCCGCGCGGGGCGGGCCGGGCCGGGCCGGGCGCGGGGCCGTCGGGCGGGGGCGGCGCGGGGCCGGCGCGGGGACCCGCGGGGGCGGCCCTGCGGGGGCGCGTCGCCCGGGCTGAGCGGGGACCCCGGGCCGGGGCGGTGCCGGCGGGGCCGGCGCGCGGCGCGGACGGGGCGGGGGTCCGGGCCGGGCTGCGGGGGGGGCAGCGCGGGCGGGGCGCGCCGAGGGGTGCCGTCTCCTCGCCACCGGGGGGCCGGGGCGCCGCGGAGACCCCGGGAGCGACCAGCGCCCGCGCGGCGCCCCCTCAAGCGGGGGGGGGGGGAGCGCGGCCGGACCGGGCGCCGGCGGGGCGGGGGCCGCGCGGGGCCGCGGGGCCGGGCGGCGGGCGGGGGGGCCTGCGCGGCGGCGGGCGGGGCCGAGGCGCGCGCCGGGAGGGGTGGCCGCCCCCCGCTCCGCAAGTGAGAGCGAGAGCACCCGGCTTTTTTAGGGGCGGTTGCTAAGCGCGGCGCCCGGCGCGGAGCCGTAACCAAGCCTCCCCCGGCAGCGGCTGTCGGGCTCCGGCTCCGCGCGCCTCGCGGGGGGAGCGGGCGTCGTCGCCGCGGCCTCGCGGGCGGGGGGCGGCCGGCGGGCTGCTGAGGGGGCGCCGCCGCCCCGTGTGGGCACCCGGCGGGCCGGACCCGGCGTCCAGGGCGGGCGGCGCGGCCGGCGGGGACTCTGCGCGCGGCTCCGCGGGTCCGCGCGGGTCGCCCTTGCGGGAACAGACGGCGCGCGGGGGCCGGACCCGGAATTCGTGACTTGGGGGCGCGGCGCGCTGGGATCCCTGAAAAACCAAGCGCCCGGCGGCGCGTCCCCTCCGTGCCCGGCCGGCCGCGAGGGCTCGGGTTTCGCGCGCGGGTGTCCGGCGGCGCCGCCTGCGCGCGGGCCGGGCCGGGGCGCTCGAGCGGGCGCGGGGCGGGCGGCGCGGACCCCGGGGGCCTCGGGCCGGGGGCGCGTGGGCCCGCGCCCCCGCGAACCCCTGCGGCTCCGGGAAGGCCCGCGGCGGGGCGGCTCTGCGCCCCGGGAAGGCGGCGGCGCGGCGGGTCCTGGTCCGGCCGCCCGACCCGACCCGACCCCGCGCCTCCAGCCCGCGCGCCGCGCCCCTGCCCAGGCTCTGGGAGTGAAGCCGGCGAGCCTTGCTCCTTCCAGCCTTGGTGAAAGGCAGTAGGTAGCCCAGGCAAAAAGCAGTGAAATGATAAAAAATGGTGATTTTGGCAGGCCAAGTTATTACTCCGGTGTTAAAAAATGTCACCTCTCAGAGTGTACCCGGAGCCGGGCCCCTTGTGCAGGCGGTGGTGACTCACGACTTGGCTCCATGGTGACGGGCCTGTGCGCCGCCCTCTAGGAGGCGCGATGGCTCCAGCGCCTGGAGATGGGGACCCCAGCACTGGCCGTGGGCTCCAGAAAGTCTGCTCCCCCTTCTGGGCCTGCAGAGAGCACCCGATGGTGCCCTGCCCTGCCCGGCCACCCCCAGCCCCGTGCAAGCCAGGGCAGCCTCCAGGCCCACCAGAGCCGCCCCTTCAGCAACTGCCTGAAATAGCCAGTCCTGGGGAGTGTCGGGGAGCCCTGGCCACTCCTGGCGCCCACAGGGTCAGGCCTGAGCCTCGGGGGAGCTGAGCGAGCGAGGGCCGCTGGGCAGGTCGTCCAGAGATGAGTGAAAACTGAGTCTTCTCCCTGACCTGTCGGCTCAGAGGCTTGGGGGCACCCCCTCTTCCCTCTCCAAGGGCTCTGCACCCCCCCCCCAGGTGCTGGGCCCTGCTGGTGCGGGTGTGTCCCTGGGCTGCAGGCAAAGTGACGATTTGTGAGTCTTTAAGGAGCTCAGCGCCCCTTGCACCCCTGGCCAGTGGCGGGATGTGGCCTCCGGGCAACCCTTGCTCTCAGGTGTGGTCTGACCCTCTGTCCAGACAGGCGGAAGGGCCAGGTTCTTTTTTATTTTTTTTTAAAGATTTATTTATTTATGCATACGAGCACTGGGGTGTAGGCCAGAGTTGTGGGGGTGAGAGGATTCCCCAGAGACACAGTGGGGAACAGAACAGGCAGATCTACTAAAGTCCACTGCTGAGGGGAGCAGCGGGGAGACAGGAGAGGTCTGCTGCGCCCTGTGGGTCAGCTCCCTGGCTGGCCGGGGACTGCACTCGTGCTGCAGAGGCTGCGGACAGCTTCACCGTCCTGTGCTTAACCCCTTGCACCACCAGGGAGGCCCACGAGCCAAGTTCTATGTCAAAAGCCCCAAAGCGCAAGATGTGGGGTGCCTCAGACTTAGCCTGAGCTGGCAGCTCTGAGTCCAGGCGTGTGGGCACTGGCTGTGAACATGGGGAGGCCGCCTGGCCGCAGGCCGAGCCCGAGGACAGATGCCCTCGGCTGCCCATGTTGAACCCGATTTGGCGGCTGATTTCAGAGGGGGGTCAAATACACGTGTTTTTATCGGTCCTCGGAGGGGGCACGCCCCTGTCGTTCACTGCCCGGTACAGGGGTGGTGCCCCTTTGGGCATCCTGAACGCCACCGCCTGTGTGGCCTGTGGCCGCCGGTCAGCGGTGCTTCTAGCCCAGGGTCTTAGGTGCCTTTTGAGGAGAGGAGAGTTTTAGGAAGAGAGCTAAGAAGACGTGAGGGCTGGAGGTGTTGGAACCAGCTCATGGGACTGAGGTGGGGTCTCGGGCTGGGCTGGGGGCTCCGGGGGCAGAGGGGGAGGTTGGGGGCCGGGGTGGGGGCTCGGGTGGGAGGGTGGCAGCCGCAGCCGCCGTGACCGCCTGATTCATTAAGTAAAGCAAGAAGTTCTCCCCTGTGCGTTGGGCTTTCTGCCCTGAGAGCAGATGGATGTGAGGGTTTCGTTTCCCCAAATGTCCCTGCGAGCCCCGAGTGCGGCATCTGCCCGTCTCCAGATGATCTTTTTGTCTGGTGTCACTTTTTTGGTGTATTCACAGAAAAAAAAAATTAAAACGAATCATTGTTGAAAACGCACGAACACTGGTGACTCGTCCGTCCCTGAAACCGCAGCAGACACTTGAAGGCGGCGTGTGGGTTGCTCGGGTGTGGGACGCGTATTGGACCCCGCACAGAAGAGAAAACACTGAAAGGCCGAGGGCCCTGGGGGTGGCCTTGACCCTGTGCCCTAGTGTCCCCGTGCTCAGGCCTCGCCAGCTGCCGGAGGCTTCTGCGCCGGGGACGGGCCTGGGCCTGGCTTCTGCCCCCAGGTGCGGGGCGGGTGGGGCCCGGCGGGGAGGGGTGTACAGGCTGTTTTGATCAGGAAGAAATAAAATGGGGCTGAGTTTGACCTGCCCCGCGCTGGACACGGTCACACCTTCCCGAGAGTGTCTGTGACCCGGCCTCATCTCTGGTGCTCTGCTTTCCACCGAGCTGCTTGGCTGAGCCCCAGGACAAGCCAGAACGTCCCCAAGGTGGGACTAGGTGGTGGGAGTGACCCCACAGGCGTGAGGCGGCTCCGTGGTGGACACCACCCTGGAGAGCGGCACCCCCGCTGCCTTGTCTGTCCTCGTTTCCAGAAAACACTTTCCCCGGAAGATGTCCTTGCTGTGGACGTTGTTTGAAGGGCTGATACTTCATGGCTGTACAGAACAGAAGCATTTTCCACAACCGCATCCTGTAGTGGATTCTGAAATTACCAGAGCCACTGGGCCGAGCTCTCGGGCACTGCGTCCGTGGCCAGCGGGGTGTCTGGGCCCTAGGCACCAAGTGCGGGGTGGGAATCGATGCTCCCTGCTGTGTGTCCTCCTCGAGGGGCTCTGCACGGCCCTCCCTGCCCCCAGGTGAGTGCCTGCGCACCTGCCTCGCCACCTGCAGGTGACGTCACTGCAGTGGAAGAGGGGGCCGCTGGAGGTGCCTGGCATGGTGTCAGGTCATGTCTCTCTTGGCTTCACCGTCCCTAAGGGCGCGCCTGAGCCCCCGGCTGCGGGAGATTCCCCCGACGACACGCTCCAGCTGCGTCTCCTGGACAGATGCGGGAGCACAGCGGTGACGGGACCTCGCCCAACGCCCGCGTCCACCAAGATGGCGGAGGGCTCCTGTTTCACACCCGGGGCTGTCCCCAGTCCCCGACGGGAGCAAGGCCGCTGCGGGGCGCAGGTGTAGCGCCTCCCACCCCCAGACGGCAGGGCCCCTCCCCGCTGGGGTGCGGGCAGAGGTGGGCGTGGTGGGGCCAATTGCCCGGCGAGGGGCTTGCGGGGCGAGGGGCCTGGCCAGGCCCTGGCTGAGCTGCGGAGCCCACGCTGGTCCCTAGCCCCGCGCGCCAAACCACCCCCCCTTCTCAGGGAGGCCTATTTAAAGCCTGCCCCACCCTCGGCCTCCCACCCGCCGCCTCCCTCCCCTGCTGTGGGGTTCGCCAGTTTAGTTTTTGGTGTTTGTGCCCCCGCGGCTGTAACCAGGGATGTGGAGCCCGGGCTGCCTGCGGGACACAGGCGGCCAGCGCTGCTAGGCCACGGGCAGCGGCTGCGAGAGCTGAGGAGAGGCTGCAGGGGTGTGAGGCCACTGCCTGGCCAGGGTGGGTGCTGCCCTGTCTCCCCCTCTCCCCCTGCCTGACTCAGCCCGACCCCTCCCCCACCTCCCTGCCCCCTCCCGCACCTCCCCCCACCACCCGCCTGACCGCTGGACACCCGTCCCCCACCTGTTCCCCCTCCCCCGCCTGACCCTGCCCATCCCCCTCCTCCCTCGCCTGCCCCCCCCCCACCCATCCTCCAGGGCCCCTGGCTCTGGGCTGGGGGTGGGGGCAGAGGCCACCGGGCTGGGCCTCCGGAAGAGGCCTCTGGAATTTCTGGCTCACCCAAGGGCCCGTGACACTTTGGTGACTCGAATGTCTTAGAGGACTTCTCCGCGCCGCCCTCGACATGGCAAAGGTGTCAGGAGCAAACGGGGACAGCCGGCCCCGCGCCCGCCTCGCGACAACGCCCACTGCGCGCCGGGACTCGTGAAGGGAGCTGGTCCCGACACTTGTCCAGAACAAACTGGCTGACGGGAGATGCGAGGAGGACCAGACCCTCAGCACCGAGGAGGGCCAGGGAGGGCCCTAGGCAGGCGGGCCTCTGCCTGGGTTCCCCTGGTGCCAGCCTCGTCCATGCCGGCTGCTCAGCAGCCAGAGTGGGCTGCACACAGGGGCGGGGGCCATCAGCAGGGATGCCCCTTTCATGCCAGAACACCTGGTGTTCCTGTGCCCACCCGCGCTGGCCTGTGCAGGAGGCGAGGAAGCCGTTGCTGCTGTGTCCAGTGCGCCATGGGCTTCCGGGAGATACCTGTACCCTGGGTGGTGGGGGCAGAGCCCCCTCGGACCCTCCCTGCTGTGCGGGCGCTTCCAGCCCTGACAGAGCCCTGTCTGGGCAGGTGTGCGGGTCTCTGGAAGGTGTGGAGGCCGCAGACTGGGAGCTGGCCACAGTGGGCAGGAACAGACCCCGGCCTCGGCCTCGGGTGCTGAGCTTACCCCTCCCCGCCCACCTCTCCACGCGGCTGTTTCTCAGATACTGGCGTTTCGGGTTCTGACCGGGCCTCCTCTGGACGCCTCTGCAGCTCCGGCTGGCCCGGGGCTCAAGGCAAGGTCACTCGACCACCCCCTCTGCTTTGCTCAGGCGTGGCCAGGCTGGTGAGCCCAGGCGCAGCCACCCGTGGAAGCAGACCCCAGAGGGGCCGCCGAGGTCTCGGCCCGAAAGCACTTGAGCCGCTTTCTCAGCCTCACTGGTCTGCTGTGTCTCCGCCTTCGGGCTGCGGCTCCTGGGGTACAGACTCACGTGCTGCACACGCTCCAGCGCGGCCGCCCGCTGGCCACCACCCCAGGCTGGGCCTGCATGTCCTGGGAGGGTTGGGGCTCTGGGAAGGGCGGCCCTGGCGCCGGGCCACGGCAGCGGGTGTGGACACGGGTGGCTGGTGGTGGACCCCGGCTGAGGAGGGCCCCGTCCTGCGCCCCCGCCCCAGAGCCCCTGTCCGGCGCCCTGTCCCGAGCCTGAGCCCCTCCTGAGCCCCCCACCCCCCCACCCGCGCGGCTGGGCTCTGGTCCGCGGGGAGCGCGGCGGCCCCGCCGTGGACGGCCCCGCGTGGCGGCCTCTGCTCGAGGGGGGAAGTCGGGGCGCTGCCGGGGCGCGCGCACCCCCACCCCGGCCCGCTCTGGCTCCGCGGCTCCGCGGCCAGAGCCCGGGTTCAGCTTCCCCAGCAGACGCGGAAACGCGGGCGACGGGTCACACGGCGGGTGCGTCCCGGGGCGCCTGCTCGCGGGCCCCCCAGCGTCCGAGAGCGCCCCGAGGTGGGAGAGCAGCCCACGGGCGCCGCGTGGGGCACCTGCGCGCCAGCCGGAGACAGGTGACCGCGCGGCTGCTAAGTC